CCCCCCCCCCGTACCGATATTCCATACAGCAAGCGCTTGGCTGGAAGGGAAGCCAGCACAATTATCTTACGTGTCGCTATACGTGTACGTTCAGTTATGTCGTGTCCAAATTTGTGCCGTGCATCTTTTTGGTGGGAAGAAGCAGAGGTCATGTGTCATAGTAGTATACATATACCATCGCTATACTGTTACTCTACAATCAAATACGAGGATTTAATGATATATTGCAGTGTATCTTGGTGACTTTGGGTGAGGTGAAGATAAGATTGATTGTCGATTCAAATTAAATAAACGGTTGCCCTGCACGACAAAGGCGGTGAACCCCAGTATCAACAAATGGAGTGCATGGTCATCATCAATGAGTATTCATGATCATCCCAGAGAACTATTCTTTCTTCCATATACCATACATATTATAATCTTCGTTATCTTATATCGGTGGATACTGGTGCACGGAGCTTTTTTTTTCAGATATCTCGTAATCCGCAACATAAGATCACACTACGATCAGAGATCCACTGCTTTACATTCCTGTGGAGCCATCTGTTGTCTACCGCATTTTTGGATCAAGAAAAGCAGCATTCCTAGTCTCCGTTCCTATACTTCCCTTTTCCTATTTTCTTCGAGGGCCGAAGTTCAATGGAGGAGCCAGATCATAATTCTCGATTAAGTGGATCCACAGCCTCGCCACGGGAGGAATCAGACCTCTGTTTTTATGTGCCTACCGATGAACCACTATCGACGGTAGAGACAGCCCATCTGTTTCACGAACTCTCGGACCACAATGAGACCAGCTCCACACATGGAAATACGCATGTACTAGCTCAGGACTGCGGTTACAATTCCTCGGCATCGTCAACGGAACGATCTTCTGGCGACTTTCTCGGCGGGGATATAGATTATGAAGAGCTGCAGGATGTGAACTCGAGAGCATCGAGCCGTTCCTCGATTTCCTCCATTCCTGCTTCAGTGCTTACCAATCCCATCAGCGGGGCCAAATCAGCCGTCGTAGGTAGATCGCAGCATGATATGCTTTCGCGTTCGTGGGGCGACCATAACGATAACGAACGTGGGGAAATGGAAGAACAGCTGAGATTGACACCTACTGTTCGGAAGCACCACAGTGCCTTCCGAAAGTCTAGTTCAGTCAGAGCGATGCAAATGCACACTGAGGATGAGGGTGACGGCGAGTACTTGACACCACCAAAACGCAGAGGAGGTCATCGCATATCGGATGGCTCATCACAGCTGAAGCGATCCCCGTACTACTCGCCGACCGGACTCGTGGCCAAGCAAATATCAAAAAAAGACTACCCTCTCGTACTACTACATTGTAACTTGCTTCCACCATCGCTGCCCATTCCGGGATTAGTGGACTATCCGGACCAAAAGATCTTGAGGGAAGTATTGCCGCCAGAGTATTGGAAGCGGTGGAAGTTACTGGAGGAAAAGATTGGGTCAGTGGTGCTACGGGAACGAGGTGTGCTCATTTCACATCCCGAGGATATGTACGATCTTCTTGAGGAGCGGTTATTGGAAAGCTTGGAGTTACAACGCCCAAGGTTTGACCATGGGCACTTTTTGGGTCATGAAGAGGCCGATACAGATAGAGATAGCCAGTCTATGGCGGAGGAGAGTGCAACAGACGATGAACAAGGCGAGCAGTGCCCAGACTGTGGAGGACGCGTGGTCCGACACAGTGAGGAAGGCCGAAAGTGGGAAATCAGGGTGTTTGCAGCCAACGGACTGATGAGAGCTGGAGCATGGGCTGCAGCTTGGAGAGAAATGGAAAAAGTAGATGTGGAAGTCGGTCTCTGGCTTCCATCTGAAGTGAGAAGAGAACTAGAGAAGAGATTGTTCGAGGGCGAAATGCCTCATCCCGATAACCGACTTCAGGCGTCACAGTTACAGGAGCTTGGAAATGGCAGGCCCACACAAGTCCACCCCGCCCCAGCCCACTCGCCGACTCCTGCACTTGAAGCTGGCAGTCCCAAGCTTCTCACCGCTAGAAGGGCTGAGAGATCCAGCTTGTCACCGGCTTCAGAACAGACTGTGCCTCAAGAGCATCGGCAATCTGGTAGGCCATCCTACCCTCGAAGTTCAACAGCAGAGATCGAACTTCAAACCCTTTTAGTGAACTACATTCGGGTGTTAGCCAGTGATCGCCGAAATGTTACAATTGCGCTTCTCACTGTCTTGGTGGTTTTCTTTGCTCTCAACACCAGACCCACAGCGACTCCAGCGCATCTGCAGCCGTTTCCTCCGGACATGCTGGAGATGGTTCCCCAGTCGACTATGTCTCCTCTACACCACTCATCGGCGATATGGGAGAATCCTACAGGGAGCATAAAAGAAGACGTGGCGACTTCGGAAGTACGAGCTGCAGCTGTTTCATCTGCGCACCAGTATCTATCCCCAACTCCTAGTCAACCGATGAGCCCTGACAGTACCAATCTCCAACACAGTGACGCTTTCGAGGTGGGTCTTGCCAAGCCAGAAAAATCATCGTCTGAGGCTGAGGCCCACTCCGAAGAAATCACAGCTGTAGCCTCCCGGAGTGTTGCTGAAAAGCGTTCCTCCTCGACGTGGCCGTTGAGCCCGTCCGTTCACCCAGTCCTATTTGAGGCACAGACAGACCATACTGAGTTGACCGAAAAAGCGGACCCCATGGCTGAAGTCCTCAAGAGCGGTGGTGAAGAATCGACGGTTATTTTGGTGATATGACTTCCACGTATATGAATTTTGATTGACGACCAATATGATATGATTGAAGTTTTTTACGTTCTGCTTTCTATTTCTAGTGTTTTTGGCTGAGTAAATGACCACATTTCAGCGCAAGATATAACATTTTACCTATTAATAGCATGGATTGGTGTTTGATTTTGGTTGTGTTTTTTTTGTCTTTTATTTTTTATTGCTTATTTTATTTTTATTTCTTATTTATTTATGTATTTGTTTTTTTTTTTTTTTTTTTTTTTCTTCGTTTGTTTCGGTCTCCTTTTTCTGGTGATTCTCCAATCAGATTCTTGAGGAGTGGATTAATTGCCTGCAAGGTGTCCCACTATCTATTGAATGATCTATCGACTATATAATCAATGCCTCTCGTGTTTGGAGTTTCCCTAAAATTAATAACCGTAAGATAGATCAACCTAAATTTACCTAAAACTATCGAGGACTTTGCATCTGCCTGCCAATTCTTCCGCGAACATTTTTACCAACGGAAGTTTTTCTTGCAGTTGCCTTTCGATATGGAAATCAATCTAGGACAGCTCACCTCGGTAGCATCGAGATACCGTCGGTTATATATTTGTCTATCATTTGTCTCTTTTATGCAAAGGCAATGCTACTCCACGGTCAGGCGCATGAAGTGCCCTGCATCCTCTTATTTGCTTTGCGAATTGAAGCAAACATACCTTGACAGGATAATGTCTGGTACGGTGATCAGCGGTAATTACCACGTAAATCTGTTGGATGCATATGACTACTCTTCTGTCTGCTCTATACCCAAGGGTGTCAGTCCCTTTCAAGCTCACCGGTAGTCCTCAACTATCCCTTGCATTTTCAGTCCCCGTTGCCACGGCTGTTCGTTGACCGTTGCTCTTTTCAACACAGGACCTCAATTGGATTCAGCCTGCAGATGTTGTATGCATTTAAGAAGGTGTTGTCCCAAGCAGAACAATGGAAAACACAAGAGAGACAAAAAAAAAAAAAATGCTCTAAAGGCCACTTGTAGGCTCTGCAATCCTTTCTATGCACTGTATTATTCTTTGTACCTATTTCTTTTTGTTATACTTATGCTGCCCTAACATTTGTAGTACGGTTGCGTCATGACTCCTTTTCATAGCCAGCTGGGCCTGCTATCCTTTTTGTGCCTTGTTCAGTGGGCATCCTGCAAGGTCGTTCACTTCGAACTCAACCTAACATGGGAAAATCATGAAGTGGCTGGGGTCACGCGAAAGATGATACTCAGCAACGGACAATTTCCCAGTCCGTCTTTACGATTGAAACAGGGCGACATAGTTGAGTTTCTGGTTAACAACTCAATGCCTTTCGGGGCGACCATTCATTTCCACGGTAGTATACTCTTTCATCCGCTGAAGAGCTCCGGTTAACTTCTGTAATCAGGTATTGAGCAACGAGGCACGCCGTGGTCCGATGGTGTACCCGGACTATCACAAAGACCGATAGCCCCCGGCGATCAATTCTTCTATACATGGACAGCGACGCATTATGGAACTTATATTTACCATGCCCACACTAGAGGCCAAATTGAGGATGGATTGTATGGCGCTATCTACATTCAACCAGATGAATCAGTGGAAAAGCCATTTCATTTGATCGCCGATGACGCAAAAGAGCTACAGGCCATGGGCAAGGCGGAAATGGAGACTGAGCCTATCATCCTTTCCGACTGGCGTCACTTAACATCTGAAGAGATCTGGCAGGCTCAGGTAGCTTCTGGGATTGAGAACTTTTGCGCCAATGCGGTTCTGATTAATGGTAAAGGATCTGTACTCTGTCTGCCTCAAGACCGCATCAATGCACTTACCACACCTGCCCAGAGGAGGGCACTGGGGAATAGAACGCTTACTGATATGGGGTAAGCCGCGTCATGGATCTGCTTTCATCCGCTGTATCGAATATCCAAGTATATACTGACCTATCCTAGTTGTTTGCCTCCTAGTGACCTCCGGAAGGCCAACCTAGCACCAAAGGGTTTCCTCCGCGGATGTACACCCAGTCAAGGCCCGGCTGAGATATTCGAGGTAGAATCAGCTTCGCGGTACAGAAGCTGGGATTTAATAAATATAGCTGGCAGTCTAGAGCTAACATTCTCTATTGACCAACATCCTTTGTATGCCTATGCGATCGATGGGCGTTATATCGAGCCTATTCGTGTTGACGCGATTACTATTCCTATTGGGAGCAGATATTCCGTTTTCGTTAAATTAGACCAACCTGCCGGTGAATATACGGTCCGCGCTGCCAACACCGGAGCAAACCAGATCATCAATGGCACAGGCATTATGAGATATGGAGCTTCTACTTACAACCAGAAGAGGCCATCTCAGCCATGGATCACTGAAGTTGGCACCAACACCACCGAAAATACGGTGTTTTTGGATGAGACGAGGGTCATCCCCTTCCCGGTAGAAGTGCCTTCTTTGCACGTGGACCGGACATACATTCTAAATGTCAATAAGATCGAGAACTCATACACCTGGACATTGGGCAATCATAGTTACCCACAATCAAATGAGGAGGCGACCCCTTTGCTTTTTAACCGCAGCTCCATCCCCACAACGTACACCATCACCACCCTGAACAACACTTGGGTGGATCTTATCATCAATGTGACAACTGGAGGCCAGCCTCCTCATCCAATCCACAAGCATTCAAATAAGTACTTCGTGATTGGATCAGGATCTGGTGCTTTCCGCCATCACTCAGTTGCTGAGGCTGTGAAAGACATCCCTGAAAGCTTTAATCTCTACAACCCACAGATTAGAGATACGTTTTTCAGTCCACCTGCCAATGCAGGCCCATCGTGGCTTGCAATCCGATATCATGTGGTCAATCCGGGTCCTTTTCTGCTGCATTGTCATATTCAACCTCATTTGAGTGGCGGGATGGCCTTGGCCATCATGGACGGCGTTGATGTTTGGCCACATGTGGCGGAAGGGTATGAGCTGCCAGCTATGGGTAATTAAATGAGTGATATTTCATGTAGATGTATTAATGTACTTTACGTCATGGATGAGAACTGTACAATGGTTCTATATAGGTACTACATAAGGCCTACGTTATTCAATAGCCATACAATACTGGAGTATTGCATTACATCCCAACTCTTTTTGATTTTCTGAATTATCAAATGCCTTTGTGGAATAGAACAAGGCTTCTGGTCCATGATGCAAGAGAGAAATCGTTGATTGCTGTCGCAGCACAGTCTGAACTCAAGAGCCCTGAGGTCGTAAGCACTGACCGCATGGAGTAACGCCAGCTTACATCCGCCTTCGCCTGAGGCCAACCACAGCCTATTTCCAGGCATTTCAGTTGAAAGATGTGGCTAGGTAGCAACGCGTCCTTTCTTTTAGGGACGAGTCTTATAAAAAAAAACCTCTCTACTGGCCTTAAATGGAAAGTGGATTTTCGCGATGCTTTGCAAGTTCAAGCTGTACTCCGCTTCTTATTGGTTCAGTTGGTATGAAGTCATGTTGATGTGAGATGTGCCTTACAATCACAGCCGATTCTAGGGGGAAGAACGGTGAGATAAAATCTGAGGGCCGTCCTGGGCCCAATGGCACCTTCCTAGCAGGAATCAACTTTCTACATCACAGTTGGTCCGTCCTCTTTGGGTACCAGTCCCATCAAGTCCGGGCAGTGGCGATGCGGATCATATCAGTTCTGATGCTTTAGCGTATCCTCAATCAATCAGATCATAAAAAAAATACAAGTAATAACCGAAACATATATGATTTCCGAACTTGATAGCTCGCAGATCTAAAGTATATATACATAGCAACAAAAACCAGGGCTTAAGTCAATCATGTGAACGTGCATAAAAAGTTACATAAGTAAAAATGTTTAGTCAAGTCTCCACCCATTAGTTACCCCATCGGTCTTAGCTCTGACACACCCCTCCAAGAAACCCAACCAAACACTTCTTCATACCTCACTCACCAAACCCCCAATAACAAAAGGAAACCGGAAGGAGAAAACGTATCAAAATGGGTCCTAAGAAGGGCGGCGAGAACTCCAAGAAGGCAGCTGGAAACGCCCGCGTACGTGAAAAGTCCCCTCTATCCGATCTGATAATGTATTCGGATCTGATAAATCTGAGCTTTTGCCTTTTGCCCCGCCCCCGCCACATGGTTATTATGGCACGCGACCAACAAGGTATTATGGATTGTATTGCTGATGAGTATGGATTTGGAATAGAAAGCGGAAGCGGCTGCTGCTAAGAAGGCCGTTGATGATCAGAAGCGCGCAGCTGAGGAGGATAAGCAGTGGGCGAAGGGTGCTAAGGGCAATGCTAAGAAGTGAGTGTTGATTTTTTGTTGTCTGTTTTTTTCTTAGTTACACAAAAGGAGGAAGGACTTCCAATGTGGGATATGACTTCTCCGTTAGTGCAATCAGTGTGCTAATCGTATTTTATAAATCCAGAGAAGCAGAGGAAGCCAAGAAAGCAGAAGCAGCCCGTAAGAAGGCCGAACGCGATGCTCAACTCGCCGCCGAAGAAGCCTCTCAGCCCTCTAAGCCTAAGGGCAAATCGAACCAACCGGTCAAGAAGTCCCGCGGGTTGGATCTTTCCCAGCTCGACGACCAGCCTGCATCTCGTAAGGGAACCGCTCTCAATGCCTCGGGTATCGATAACGCGCTGGACGCCCTGTCGTTGACGGGCAAGGATTCATCGAAGATCGATCGTCATCCGGAGAGACGGTACAAAGCTGCTTATGCGGCGTATGAGGCGCGCCGAATGCCCGAGGTGGAGCAGGAGAACCCTGGTCTGCGGAGACAGCAGCGTTTGGACCTCATCAAGAAGGAATTCGACAAGAGCGAGGAGAATCCTTTCAACCAGGCACATGTCGCGTTTGATGCATCGAAGGATGAAATTGCTGCTATTCGCGATGCGGAGAGGAAGAAGACGGAGGCCAGATTGACGAGATAAGGCCGTTTTCTTCTCCTGCACCCTTCCAATTGGATTTTAGCATGTTCCTTTTAAGGAGGGGGTGCTCGTCTGAGCGCTCTTCTTCACACAGGGCTCTTTATATGGGTTCTGTGGTCTTGATATACCCGGCTTTGGCTTTTTGGTTTCATGTTGAGTCCACAACGGCTGGCATGGATGGGTAAATGCCATGTCTAAACTGCGTCACCGTGCAAGGTGATTGATATATTTATGGTGATGATTGATGTTCGGATAGTATAGATTCTTTAACGATAAAAAAAAAAACAAAAGCATATTCTATACCCCAAGTGACAACAGTACTCAATAACCAGAATCGTAGCCATAAAGTATTCAATATCCGACAGGCCAATCAATCGCTGCCAGGAAATGGTATCATGCAATCTAATATCCAATACAGAAGGAAGAAATAAACCAAGACGGGTCATCCAAAATAGGCGGGCGTCTATCCCATGACTGCCCGGACATCCCACACATACAGACTTTCGTCCCATCCCACACTGGCACACCAACCCTCACTTCCGAACATACACCAATCGACTCCGGTCACGAACTCTGTATGACGTGCCATTCGGCCCATCTCCACTCCCATCGTTGGACTAGGACCCGCCCGCATCGAGTCGACATCCCCAACAACTCCTGGGGGGGATTGGTCGTTCCATGCACGACAGGTCATGTCGTAGCTCCCACTAAGCAGAACATTGGATAAGTGCGGCGACCAGGAGATTTTACGGATGGCGTAGTCATGCCCGACCATCACGGTTTGTGGGCCCTGATGCGGGGCACGGATGTCGAAGGTGCGAATCGTCCGATCCACGCCCGCGGTGGCCAGGATAGACGGTCGATATTTATTCCAGTCATGTGTCAGAGCTTCAGAAGGAGGACAGGCGGCTGGTGGAACGCCCGGTTTACCAGGAATCGGAGATACCGGGGCGGCATGGATCGGGATCTGGAGAGTGAGATGGTTGGATGCGGAAGCGGGTGTGCGAAGGTCGAAAAGACGGACGTAAGAGTCGGAGGTAACACAAGAAAGGATGTCAGGAGAATGTGGCGAGAAGGATGCAGAGTAAGTGCAGCTGTGTGTGGGAAGAGTGACGAGAGAATGCGGACGATCGGGAGTCCAGACGCGCACAGTACCGTCCCAGCTGCTGGAGCAGAATCGGTCTTTCGCGACGAGATTCCAGTGCACACTGAAGACTTCACGGTTGTGCTCTTTCCAATTCTGGACGGGGAAGTCGTTCAAGTTGCAATCGAACAGCTTAATGCTACCGTCCCCAGAGGCTGTGAGAACTTGATTTTCGTGGATCTCAGACCATGCAAGATCGTAGAGCGAGTCTTGGGTGGTAAACCTGGCATCGTCTGGTTAGAATGAACTGACTTGGTCATCTTCAATGGAAGGCCTGTACCATTTCACAGGTACAATTCCGTTTGGAGTCAACTCCAAAATGTACATGCGTCCATTTCCCACGAGTCCAAAGTTGGACGACGAGGCGACGGCCAGCCGGTTATCGAAGAACGGGGAGTACTTAACCGCACAGCCGTTATAGCCCTCGGTGCGAAAATGCAGCATGGTTCTGGGGGATGATCCGGGGCCAAACCACACTTAATGTCACAAGGAGGTAAGTAGGTAGAAAAGGAAAAAGCGGTGGGCGTAGATTAGCGACTGCGGTGAAAGATCATATCGCAAAATATGCTGACTGGAATCAAATGACTTCCAGTTGCGGGGAGATTCTCACTTCCTTGAGCCGAGGTCCATTTACCGTGATTGGTGGAGTCCCCGTGATTAGCGTCAACGTCATGTTGTATATCCACTTTTCAACTACTTTTGTATACTGTACAACATTTTGTTGAAGCGCATTCGATTCTTACATTACCAAGATGTTTCTATTGCGATCCTCCTAAACACGACATCCTCGGGATTTTTGACCGACCTACAGTGGATTTCCTCTTCACAGTGTGGATTATCATCCAGGATTGACGCATACCCCAGTTATAACCTACCCCCAAGAACCACACATTATGGGTGGCATGGTCTTAAGTCAAAAATATCTCAAAAAACTAATAAACCATGATCGTTTTGGCTATGAACAGCTGAAATTGGCTGCGTGCCATCCTTTTATCGAGACTTGAGACCATCACATAAGCCCTAATACAATGTTACCTTCGCTTCACATGAAGATACGGCTCTCTAAACGCAAGACAATGACGAGAATAACTTGTCACGCTCTAAAACAACTCGGGATGATGTTCCTGTTGATAAATAGTGTAAGTATTTCCTAGTGATGCCGGATTTCCGATATATCGGCGGAACGCCACTTTGCCGATGCGGAGAGCCGGGGTCCTGAAGTCAAGCCGATTTTCTCGGTTTATCTTTATTTTTTTTTTTAAAAAAAAAAAAAATCTGTGACTGTATCGCCCATCGTTGAGTATCTATCTAAGATACCCCAGGTCAACCATGTCAAGCCGTGCAACGCATCATCTCCGGGGCTGCTACCCTCACGCCCTTCGAACCACAGCAGCTCTACGCGCGTCAATCTTATTACCTAGTCGATGCGCGCTTCAATCAACTGTCAGGCCAGTTGTATTCAGTCAGAAAAAGAATTGGCCATCTCCGTGGCTACACCAATTCAGCGTATCTGCCCTCCATGCGGCTGAAACCAAGATCATCTGCGTCCCTCCAATGGCCGAATCCATCTCCGAGGGTGTCCTGTCGACCTTCAACGGACAGGTCGGCGACTACGTTGAACAGGATGAAGAGGTCGCCTCGATCGAAACGGACAATATAGATGTCGCCATAAATGCACCACATAGCGGAACGATCACAAGGTTACTTGTCAGCGAGGGCCACGCCGTGCCAGTGGGACAGGCTGTTATTGAGATTAGCCTCAAAGAGCGCGATACAACACTACCTTTATCACCACCACCACCACCACCACAAGCGGAACAAACTCCTGAATCTCCTCAGGAAGTCACTCAGAAGCAACAGACACCTATTAGGGAAACAACACCCTCCCAAGAGCCAACAAAAGAAACAACCTCGACACCTACCCCAATGACTACTCCACAACCCGTACCAAACAGCCAAGGTCCAGTATCAGCCTTTCAGGGGAGTCGATCAGAGACGAAAGTCAGCTCACTCATACGTTCTATGCGCCCACCAGGCAGCTGATTATAAGAACACTAGGTCAAAATGTCTCGTATGCGCCTGCGCACGGCAGAGCGTCTAAAAGATTCGCAGAACACAGTCGCGTTCCTCACGACGTTCAACGAAGTAGACATGAGCAAGGTTATGGCATTCCGCTCGCAGAACAAGGATGACGTGCTTCAGAACCACGGCGTCAAGCTGGGTTTCATGGGCCCGGTGGCGCGGGCCTCCGCGCTGGCTCTTCGGGAGATTCCGGCTATCAATGCGTCCATTGAGAACGACGACACGATTGTCTTCCGCGACTATATCGACCTTAGCGTTGCCGTTGCGACACCCAAAGGCTTGGTGACTCCAGTGCTACGTAATATGGAAAACCGGACCATCGTGGAAATCGAACAGGGCATCGCCGAACTGGGGGAAAAGGTGAATCGATCAGAGTTGTTATTAGCACAGCTCTACAATAAGAATCTGTTTTCTAACATCTACCATTTATTAGGCTCGCAATGGCAAATTGACTATGGATGATCTAACCGGTGGGTCCTTTACGATCAGTAATAGTGGAATCTGGGGTTCGTTGTTTGGCACTCCCATTATCAATATACCACAGACTGCTGTGCTTGGGATTTACGGCATTCAGCAGAGACCTGTCGCTATCGATGGACGGGTAGAGATCCGCCCAGTAAGTCATTATTATCTGTTTTGTGTAAGTTTGCGGATTATCCTGACTCTAGTAGATGATGTATTCTGCGTTGACCTACGATCATCGGCTAGTCGACGGCCGTGAAGCAGTAACGTTCTTGACACTGGTCAAAAAGTATATTGAGGACCCAGTCAGCATGCTTGTCGCGTAAATTGCATGATCTATATGTATATTTTTTATCTTTCAAGAACATCAATGTTAGGTGATGTTTCACTGTAACAAATTAGGAATATCATCGCTATGCGGATGGAACTATATATGTACAAAGAACCTGATCATGTCTTTGGAAGCGCCTAGCACAGAAACCAGAAAATAGGCTAAAAAAAAAAGCATTACAAATAAATTTTACAGCGGACAGAGGAAAATCTCTTTCCCTAAGACCAGGAAACTGTGATACCACATCGGGCTAAAAGTCCGGCAATTCCCCAAGCCACCGAAAGTCTTCCCGGCAAGATACTATTACACCGATTCGCACTCACACCACTGTGCAATTAATACATGCGGGCATCCTACCAACCAGACTGCGGGGAACAGAGATCACCAGCTTCTAGTTCATTTATAGAGTCGCAATCTCCTAGCCCCTGGTACATACACCCATGCGGCCACGCCCATTATACATACAATCCCCAAGCCGAACCCTGACCCGATTGATATCCCTCCTACTTCCCACCCCCCAATTCCATGAAGAACAGATAATCAAAGAAGTACAACCACAATGTTAATATCGCGAGCACGATACTTCACTCGCCAGAGCCAGAATCAGCTCTATATATCGCACACAGCGCAGTCTTCTCTCTCACCCACAACGACAATATGCCGTTCCGGCCACTGCACAGACCACCGAGGAAATAGTAAGTATCATTGACATGGAGATTTCAACAGAAAATGTTAACTTTCACTCTTCAGGTCCACAATGATGACTTTCTACAAGGAAGCGCAGCAACCTACATCGACATGATGTACTCGTCGTGGAAGAATGACCCGTCCTCTGTGCATCTTTCATGGCAGGCGTATTTTCACAATGTCGAGAATGGCCACATACCCATGGACCAGGCATTCATGCCGCCTCCAGGTCTAGTGACGGCATCGACGAGTGTATCAATCGCACCAAATTCGCGAGAAAATAGCCTCACTGTCAAGCAGTTGAAGGCGATTCAACTGATCCAGGAGTATCAGAGATGGGGACACGAGTATGCATCTACTGATCCGTTGGGGATGGCGAACGAGGGGAAGATTCGTCGGAAAGAGCTGCAATTGAGCCATTATGGGCTCGGTGAGCAGGATCTCGATCTCGTGCTTACCGCTGGGACAGGCTCTATGCAGGATTTCACATCTGAGAAGCCCAAAACCCTGCGGGAGATTATCGCTGCCTGTGAGGAGACTCATTGCAGCATGATGGGAGTCGAATACATGCATATCTCGAATCAGGAGCAGGTGGACTGGATCCGAGCTCGTATTGAGGGCGCGCAGCGCCATCGGTTCACTGACGAGGATAAACGACATATGTTGCATGGTCTTGTCCGCGCTACTAGTTGGGAGAAGTTTATTGCGACTAAGTTTCCGAATGAGAAGCGGTTCGGGTTGGACGGTGTCGAGAGCTATATTCCTGCGCTGGAGGCTGCGATTGATAGGTCGGCTGAACATGGTGTTGATAAGATTGAAATGGGGGTTGCGCATCGCGGCCGCATGAATATGCTGTACAACATTATCGGGAAGGATGGGGCGGCCATGTTCCATGATTTTGATCCCAAGGGGACCTCCCATTGGGGTATTCCTGGGGATGTTAAATATCATTACGGTGGTAGTGGCGAGCATGTAGCATCTTCCGGTAAGAGAGTGTATATGAACGTGCTGCCTCAACCATCGCATTTGGATTCGGTGAACCCGGTTGTTATGGGCAAGACGCGCGGGATCCAGGATCGCCTTGCGGATGGCCAGGATTCCACAATGATGCTTAACGTGCATACGGATGCGTCATTTGCCGCTCAGGGCACGATATACGAGACGTTAGGGCTTTCAGGTTTGCCCGGGTACACCACTGGCGGCACGCTGCGCGTGATTGTTAACAACCAGGTTGGCTTCACAACGGATATGTGGCAGGCAAGGTCGACCCCTTACTGCACTGATGTGGCCAAGGTGCTGGATGCACCAGTGTTCCATGTTAACGGAGACGATGTCGAAGCGGTTTGCTCGGCGGCGATTCTTGCAGCTGATTTCCGGGCACAATTTAAGAAAGATTGTGTGGTCGATATCATTTGCTATCGGCGCAACGGACACAATGAGATGGATCAGGCTTCTTTCACTCATCCTACCATGCACAGGCGGATTGCTGATAAGGTCCATATTTTGGACCGGTACGAGGCAGGGCTGATTGAGCAAAGCATCGTAACACGGGAGCAAGTGGATGGCATGAAAAATGATGCTTGGGACAAACTTACGCAGTGCTTGGAAAAGAGTGGCGATCACAAGCCTGATGCGCGCGAGTGGCTAATCGACTCTTGGAAAAGTGTAAAATCACCCATGGAGTTAGAAAGAGAGACACTACCACAAAAGGTCACAGCCATTGGCCATCAGGCTGTAGAGACTGTAACCCAAAAGCTGGGAGCTGCGGTCCCCGATGATTTCGTGCTACACAAGAATCTAGAGCGCATCCTCGTTCATCGCAAGCAGACTGTCGACTCTGGAACGGATATTGACTGGGCAACAGCTGAGGCTCTCGCTTTCGGCACACTATTGCAGGAGGGCACGACTGTACGTGTCTCCGGACAGGATGTAGAACGAGGTACCTTCTCTCAGCGACATTCAGTCCTCCACGATCAACAGTCCAACCAAACTTACACTCCGCTGAGTATCCTGGGCGAAGGGCAAGGCCTCTTCAGCATTACCAATTCGTCGCTGACCGAAAATGCTGCTTTGGGCTTCGAGTATGGCTATTCCTTAGCTGATCCAAACGCCCTAGTGATATGGGAAGCACAATTCGGAGACTTTGCCAATAATGCTCAGTGCATTATCGACAACTATATTGCATCATCTGAAGAGAAATGGCTCCAAAGGTCGGGTGTGGTCCTTTCCTTGCCACACGGATACGACGGCCAGGGGCCGGAGCATACATCAACTCGATTGGAGAGATTCCTGCAACTAGGCAATGAGGATTCAAGATCTTTCCCATCACCTGAGCAGCTGCAGCGGCAGTATCAGGATTGCAATATGCAAGTAGTGTGTATGACCAGCCCAGCCAATTACTTCCATGTCCTGCGCCGGTAAATCCATCGTGAATTTAGAAAGCGTATGTCTTCCTCTCCCTTTCCCTTAGAATCGTATGACAGAGCACAGATTGAATCATTAACCCAGCGCTTATCATCCTGTTCTCCAAATCTCTGCTCCGTCATCCGCTTGCTCGCTCGGATATCCAAGATTTCACTGAAATGCCTTATTTCCAACCTCTATTGTCTGAGACTGAGCACGGAAAAACCGTAAATGACCCCCAAAGTATTAAGCGTGTCATTTTCTGCTCGGGTCAGGTCTATGCTGCCTTCTCCAAGCACCGCGAAACCCATGGTCTGAAGGATACAGCCATAACACGAGTCGAAGAACTCCATCCCTTCCCTTGGGAACAAGTACGGCAGAACCTGGATACTTATCCCAACGCAAAGGATATCGTCTGGTGCCAAGAGGAAGCACTAAATGGGGGTTCCTGGAGCCATGTGATGCCGCGCATGGACCTCATCTTGCAAAGGACAGAGAACCACGGAGACAAGAGGGTGAGGTTTGCAGGGAGAGACCCGGCATCAGGTGTGGTTGTGGGGTATAAGGTACTGCATGCACTGCAGGAGCAGATTCTATTGAATGATGCTTTTCAAATTGAATAGCTAGTTAGCCATGACTGTTTCAGTCTCACCAATATAGAGTTAGATTTCCCAAGTTAATAGTGTCCCGTATATAGTGGTCCTAAAAAAAAAGATTTTGTCGCAAATTTTCAGTGTCGTTTATGTTCAAGACGTCTGATATACTATAGGGCGCAACCTTATAAGCACTACACCCAAGGATATCTTTGGAAAGACTTCGGATGCAGTAAAAGTAATCCTCGAATCGAAATGGACGCCTAATATGTCTTCGGCTGGCTCGCTGAAAATACCGATATATACACGCATAAGATCTTAGCGATTCACGATAGATTGAAAAGCTCCCACATGAGACCATCAAAATCTGGCACACCTGTCAATCCAAATGTCTCCTCAAATGCGGAGTCCCCAAATAGTTGTAGTGAGTCCGTTTGTTCAAGTGTAGCGTCAGGAAACCCTGGGTTGAAAACACCAAAGCCGGCAGGGTTTGTATCCAAATCTATGAGCTCTTGTTGCTGGTTTGTTGCGTTTTGTCCTAAAGGCAATTGGGAAGAGATATTAGGACTTTGTTGGATATTATTCGTAGTGCGTATCCTTGAACGAAGCCGAGGAGTAGCCGTTGACTCCGCTGAAGCTCGAGTTTTCAAGAGTCGCCTCATGGTCACACTTGAGATATCATCGATGCAGTCTCTAGCTCTCTGGGCTTCAAGCCAATATTCGCCGATACTGCTCAGAATATTGAGAGCAGCAGTTATATTTTTTGTGAGTTCATCTATTTGTATGTTTGTCGAAATATCAGGCAACTTCCAAATGCTATGAAGCACCACAAGTGTGCCCAGAAAAATTGAATGGACAACCAGTCGGCTGTACTGCAGGGAGTCATGCCTATACAGCTCTCTGAAGCTTTCCAACAGCTCCATCGCGTGTCTGAAACATAAGATAGAAGAATCTTCGGATGGGTCTGGAATGGCTGGACTGGGGCGCAAGACTAGTATCATCATCTCATGATATTTGATTTCGCAGAGCTTGGCGCTCATGTTGTTGATATTATCAGTATGTGGTGTCTCGGCCTTCCAGGTTTGCAGACGCTCCAACATCTCCCTTTGCCAAACGAAAATGTCTCGAATTGGTGGGTAGGCGTATGCTGGTGGCTCTCGAGATATACTGTGCATGACATACTTGATCTCTGAGTTTAGTCTGGCGGCTTTGAATAAGTGTATGCCAAATGATACATGAGAAGGTGGCTGTTCAGGGGATCTTTCTTGGGCGTCAGGTCTCATCAGCTCAAAGTCCGAGATGTCCATAGGAAGCTAGACCTATTAGTTCCATGCACACAAGTTATTCAAATATAGGCGAAGTACTCACACGTAGATCGCACGCTTCGTCCCGGATACCCACCGGTCGCCCCATCATTGTCCCTATCGTCCGGTCAAACGTGTACACCACCCAGAAAACCCGGGTTCTCATTTCCTGTTCCAACAGTGATATTTTCAGAGAGGGTGTGTTTCGTATATCCCGCTGTAAACCTAAATCGATAAGAGAAGCCAAGCACTGGTAGTTGAGGTTCCATATATTGATTCCACAAGATGGGTTGTGGAATCCATACACCATGAGTAATAGCAATGACTGCAATCCACCCAAGGTTCCATCCGGAGATATATTACTAAAATGCTGCATTGCTGTGGCATAATAGCCCTCAGCAGGGAGGCGGACTTTGGACCTCCGTGAAAGATCAGTGGCAGCAATAGCCATAACCATGTAGACCTGAAAGGCCACTATTGGGCTGACATCTTCCGACGAATACATTTGATCTATATAGCTCATATGGGATGGCTGGTGCAAAAAAGGATAAATGATGTGAATGGTTTCAAAGTACTTGGCTGACAATTCGGCAGCAGTTTCTCGTCGTGGGGGCAAAGAAGCGGGTGTATGAAGAATCTCTGCCGCGAGAGCGGTCGACTCTCCTGATAGTGAGCCTGCAGAATCATTGGCAGCATTTCGTCGCTTCTGATGCCTACCGGCACTAGAGAATACGAGATTGGCAAAGAAATATCCGCTTGAAGGCCCAATATAGCGGGGTTCGCCTCCAGGTGAGAGCGAGACAAGTCCTATCTCATGGGCTTGTCGAGATTCCATCCAAGGAAGAGTCCGCAATGGATGATGTGGCCCACTTTGGTATTGCTGTGTGCTTTGCCCCGGGCCCTGTTCCTCGCTTGTGGCAAGCTCTCTCTGAGGGCTAAGGATAGACGTTTCCTCGTGGTCCTCAATCAATACTGGCTCCTCCTCTTGGGCAAGGTTGTCTCTAGACTGTTCACCCAAGTCAACATTTGGACAACTTTCTTTTACCAGCGTTTCCAACCATTGTATTCGTTTCTCCATGCTCGCGATATACCTATTCAAGGTCAGGATTTCTAATGATCTAGGGGCAGGCTATGCACTAACGAGCGCTGAACAAGCTGCTTGCCATCATTGATACAAGGGGTGCTAGCCTTCTGGCATGACCCACAGCGAGGAGTTTGCCCATCGCACTGTATTAGCCAGCGTCAGCTGCAGAAGCACGCAAGTTATAGAACAAAAACATACGCGGATCTTCCGTCGTTGACAGCGGCGGCACGCGGCGCGATTCCGATTCCTCCTCGGCGAATCCATGGTAGTGACGGTATTAACACATATATATTATATATATAGTGAGTATACTTTAAATCGGCATAATACACTGGAATTGATTGATAAAGAGCGATTGTGCAACGTACTCCAGCCAATGATCGGAAGGAGGTTGGAAGAGAAAAGATCGAGCCTTCGAAGTGGTGGAAAGGGAGACGGAGTTCTTCCGCTGGGACGAAGCGGATCACTTCCGAACGTCCGGTTAGCCCTAGAGTCAGGGTCTACATGAAGATCAAATATGATTGCGATATAGATAACGAAGACAATGTACTTTGAGACTACCTTAAAACTCTGCACTCTTTTCTTCATATATTTCTGTTTTCTTTTCATTGCTTAGCAGACACAAGTCCCATGGGAATTTTCACCGTTCTCCAAGAGATGACTAGTACTGCTTCTCTTCCGCCGCCCATGGATTGTCCGTAGAAGAATGGTAATAGACGCTTATATAGACTCCGATCTTCTCCGTAAAAGCAAAAGAAATCCAAGATGTCAGACGGTCCGTCCGCTCAAGATCATTTTCAGGACTGTCCAGTTTGAATATGATTAGAGTCCATTCAATCATAAGAAGAATGACTTACAAGTAAGATTGAATAATATCCAAATAGGATTTACCTATGTCAACCATGCCAATTTCCTCCATAAAATGTGCAATCCCGGTAGCAATTTTTAGGTCATTCTCACCGTGCACAGGTAAGTAGATCTTGGTCAACGGCGATGGATCTCCGCTTCTCATCTCGTAATTCCACATCAACGGGGTTGTCTTGGAGGTGTCGCTTCGATCATCATGTTCTACTTTGATCTCAAGCTCTCCGTCCGGGATCTGGATATGGTCAAAGAGTTGCAAGAGATACCGCAATCCGTTGTCCACAGATGAGCCCTGCAGCCGAGAGCCCAGGGACCAGACCTCTTCAAGCTTCGCCCGCGTCATACTAGCTGAGCACATATAGAACTTGAGGCGACACTTTAACGGCTCGATGCAGTCCCATGAGAAGAAAGTAAACGGATTATATGAGTTAGACTCTTGCAGGTAACGGTCCACCATTGAAAACGCCTCAGCGCAGTCTACTTGTCTCTGCAGGTCTTTAACCGTGGTGGCCAGTAATTCTCGCGAAGACTGCCCAGATACTTTGCATTTCAATCCCGGAAAGGCATAGACCTTGACCGATATAGTACCATTTCCGAAAAGGTCAAAACCGAACAGTGTTTGCGTTCTCACATATGTGTCATCGACCCTGTTCTTTTCCAGTATGGCTTTTTCGGTCGCATCAATATGTATGTTTTGAGAGACTGTATCCCATAATCGTGAGTCGAATCCTTTGAGATCAAGTTCCGACAAGGTGGAGAGAAACTCGTTTGCTATATCTCGATCGTAGGCAATAGCCTCGGTACCTCGCGCTCCACTGAGTGGCTCAAAAGCTATACGAACAGTTGGTTGCTTTCCATGCTGCTGGTAGTTGACACTAAACTCCACAGGAAGACCACTCCGGGTAAGAGTACTTCGAACGACTTGTGGATAGGGCCCCAGAAAAGGGACAATGACACAGGCGTAGAACTTAAGATACTGTTGTTGCCGCTCGATGCTATAGTTTGACGATATCATAAGCTTCACTAGGATTGGGCCAGTTTTGTACCACCATTGCTTCCAACTCTCATTCGGAAATTCGAGGGTTTCAGTCAATGATTCAAAAGACATGGGATTTAGTGAGCAAGGAATGTGCATCGTGGTTCGAGAGGCCAATTTTGGGGGGTGAATACGAGACCTCAACTGGAGCTTCTATGAGGTCGATGAAAGCTGAGCTTAATATGCAACGGTACAAGATAAAATAAGATTATCTTGGGGTCCGTTCAAAGCTTAGTTAAGTGGCTAATGAGCAAACAAGCCAGATTGTGATCTAAACTGCCTCGTAATTCTGCAGCTTGATGTAACGGAGCACGCCGAATCCATATAGACAACAGTTCGGCAACACCGTGGCCGTTGCTTTGGTAATAACGTCACAATCCTAGACGTATAAATGGAGCATAAGGCTACTAGATCCTTATAGAGAAATTATTGTAGCCCTCTACCAAGACCAACTCTCCATGGCTTGGTTCGCATATATCTTCATAGAACAAATGAGGAGCCGATGTGAAGTTCAACCACATCTGACCCTGCAAAAAAGCACAAGCAATGCCCCATCCTACAGACACCCTATAATCACCACGCGAGTAAGATTGTAGGTGGTCAAACTAACGGACTTCGGGGGTATTTTGACGCCGATGAACGAATCAGTTGGCAATTCGTGGATGTCGAATGTGGGGGAGCTCGGTTCTAGTGTACAGCTCTGTGATACCTTGTGCGAGGATGCGTCGGTGAGCATGTTTGTACTGGGTAGAATGAGCCAGAAGGATGTACACTACACAGCTACTAGTATTCATATACTACTAGTAGTGTACAAGAGGTTTACGACTTCCACGGTATGTTTCTCAACACCTGATTGGTCACTTACGCAGCAATCACGTGGCCCGGAAATATTGATCGCATCTTAACTTGACTCTTTCATTCCGAGGTCTCATCACAAACACATAGACTTATATTGCCTCATGGCTTCAAACCGCAATCGCGAGTCCTATCTATGGACCGTTTCATAACCCGGAAGAGGCCACGGCCCAGCTCACCAATCCCACAGGCGGCATCACCATCAGAATCGCCACTCCCGGATGAGGACTCAACAGATGTAAAGTTAGCACTCCTCGTCTCACTTTTCCCAGACATTGCACAGGAGACCCTCCTGGATGTCCTCGTTTCAGGTGGTGGGTCGGTAGAAGCCGCCGCATCTACGATTGCAACACAAATCCCTCCCACCAAGAAGCGGGTGGTGCCGGGTACACCATCTGTACAGACGTCTTTGACGTCCCTTGTCCTCCAACCAGACGAGGGGAAAGAGTCACCCATCAAACGAAGACCACTGACCAAGAAGGGGAAAACGCTACATCTATACTCCCCAGGGGACGTCGCGGCCCACACGCCATGTACAATCATCCACAATTTCCTCCCAGCGGAGCAGGCCAATGCACTCCTCCTAGAGCTTCTGGAGGAATCCAAGTATTTTTCTAGGTATAAGTTTCAGCTGTTTGATCGAACAGTTGAGAGTCCTCACTCAGCTAGCGTATACGTTTCTACGCCGGAGGAGTACCGCCAGCACACATCAGAATACACGTACGGCGGGACCTACCGGTCGAATGTGCGTCAGATCACGCCGCATATGCAAGCTGTTTCCGCCAAAGTGCAACGCACTGTGAACGATGAAGTATATCACCGGATTAAAACCTTCTACCCCGGCGGAGAAAAGCTCAAGTACCAGTCTCCGAAAGAATGGATGCCAAATGCCGCATTCGTCAATTGCTACGACGGTCCCGCGGAGAGCGTGGGGTATCACTCGGACGAACTGACTTACCTTGGTCCACGAGCCATCATCGGTAGTCTGAGCTTAGGTGTAGAACGAGAATTCCGCGTCCGGCGGATCGTACCCAGCAATGATGATGAAGAGACCTCTCAAAGTGAGAAAGACACGCCTGCACCACAACCTGAGCCGAAGCAGTCACGAGTGGCATCTGACGTTCGAGCTGATGCTCAAGGTCAAATTTCCATTCATCTCCCCCATAACTCTTTGCTGGTTATGCATGCCGAAATGCAAGAAGAGTGGAAACATGCCATCGCACCTGCCCAGACAGTCTCACCACACCCTCTGTCCGGAAACTGCCGCATTAATATCACTTATCGCTGGTATCGCGACTCCCTTCATCCACGGAACACCCCTCGTTGTCGGTGTGGTATGCATGCCATTCTGCGCTGTGCTCAGCGCAAGCGGGAAACTAGAGGGAGGTATATGTGGATGTGTTATGGAGGCTTTGCCCCTGGCAGAAAGAGCTGTGGTTTCTTCCAGTGGGCTGAGTTCGATGACGACGGGGAACCAGTCTGGAATAAGAAGCAGTCTGAAGATAATGCGCCTATCTTGAGAAATTTTGTAGTTGAATAATATCCTTGTTAGGATAGTGATCGAGGTAATCAATTCTTAGTATAGTCTTCGCATTTGCCCGCATCATACTCCAACTGTATTACTCATTGCATGGCGAATCTCTGCCATTGCAAGACTAAGAAAAGAGATAGTGCGTTTTATAGCCTGTATCACACCTCCAAAGTTGTACAAAAGTTAAATAATCACAAAATTCATCCTTGATTATAAACCATTAAGTATAGGACCAGGGTACGGATGAAGCATAGGAATTTTACCCAGCCTGCAAGTGACGAAGCAACCACCATCTTTTAGCTAAAGTTGACTCGGCCAGCAGCAACTAATCCTCCGGTAACAGTCTGCAACATCAACCGGTTGACATCTAGTGGTAGTCGAGTATTCATCTAATCAACGGTCCGAATTGCGAGTCACGAATCAGGATAGGGATAACGGCGTGGTTCAGGTACATCGTCTTTATTTTCTTCAGCTGCCTCCCGTCGCCGAGAATATGAAACCAAAGCCCTCCTTCAAACCATCTCCTTCTCCTGGTCTGATTCCTGTCTTGCGCAGGGCGCCGGTGGAGAAATTGTTATATCGGGGACGTCGGAACTGCCGCGAGCAGCGGCTCTCTCCTTCTGTCTCTCCTGAGGATTGATGCAAAAGAGATAGTGAGTGTGAAGCCGACCACTGCAGGCCCCCGAAAGAGCCAGAGCCATTATGAAGATGACGCCGATAAGGAATATCGGAATAGTAACTAGTCCAATGACGACGAAGGTATCGTAATTCTTAGCCATGCTTGTAGGTCTATTTACTCCGATGGATGCAGCGGGGATTCGGTATGCAAAGATTTATGAGGATATTTTTGGTAGGTAATGGACAGATCTTGAAGAGAAGCCTTCTACCCCGTTGCAGAAAATCGTCGGTATACATAAAACAGCTTCTTCTTTGGGAAAGAGCGTGCCAAGGGACGCTAAACGCGAATGAGGAAACAAGAGGGCCAGAGTTTGTACAGATATTAATTCTTTCCTGTATACATGGACAATGAATTGGGTATAAATCGCAAGAATCGAACTACTGGTGCGCTTCTTCCACCCGTGGGTTTATCATCTCTTTAATTGAGGTCAACGTAGCGTCGTCTAATCGAGAGAAACGTATCTGCAAGCTTCGGTCAGCGATAGTCACCACGAGCTGCCTGTAGTGTCCAGCGATTCAGGGATCACTGAGAGGAGACTCTTCTTACCGTATCCTCAGTTCCTCCACTTCGAGTTGCATTGCCAAACAATGTTGCTTCCGAATGACTCGCCTCGACCTCATCTTGGACACGCTTAGCCCAAATCCCATCCCAGTGCCAATCACCGGGAAGCCGCGCCTGCGGGTTTGCTCTTTTAGAACTACTTGTAAAGGCCGAGTTACTGCTATCTTTTCTGTGAGCCTTCCACGCATGCCAAGCGCTTGGATTTCCAGCAGCTTCGAGTGGCAACGAGTCGAGAACTGTTTCGTCGTCGAATGTAGATCGGATATAATTCAATAAAGCAGTAACCGGGACATTTTCTCTTATTTCGACTGGGTTCTCCTCTGGTGCTGAGGTAGCACTCTCCTCTCGATCAATATCCCCTTGATTCTTCGACGGAGATGTAGGTCTAGAGGCGTCGTTTGGGTTCTGAGGCGAGTCCTTGCCGGATGCATCAACACCGATATTGGAGCCATTAATACTCACGGCTCTCGAAGAGCCCACTGAATTGATCACACTTCGTTTACCTCGTCCAAACCAGTGGGGAAATCCATGTCGGAGACTAAATCCGCCAGGCGGTAATCGCTCCTCGTCTGAAGCACTGACGGGATCTTCGCTTGAAGCGTTTGTGCTAAAGGTATATGTCGTAAGGGGAACGATCAGCGGATGAAATACATCGGTAGAGAAGGTCACTAAAGGTGGGAGGTTGGGATATGAAGGCGGGAATCGGATCTGGAAACGGAGGATAGCAGAAGCATATGGACCTAAACATCGCCATAAAAAATCAATTAGCCCTAGGTTAGTTACAAGTTGTTTTGTTTGTCCTAATCAGAAGAAAAATATCATACCACTACGAACGAATAAAACACCCGTCCAAAGAGTAGGATCATTCGGGGTAGGGCTCACATAGAGACCTGGAGGGGCTGCATGATTTAAACTCGCACTACAATTGAAATATGTTAATTTGGCTTCGCTCTGTAACAAAACGAATAGAGTAAGCGTAACTCACAATTCCAGGAGAAGTTGGTGTTTACGCAGAGCGGGGATATTAGGCAATCTGGAGGTGGACATATTGCTGCATGAGACGGTGATGCTGCTGCTGAGTTACCGCTTAGGAACACGCGACGGCTACTCTATTTTCTGGCAGAATTATTTGAACACTTCCGCGGGGTGGCTCATTGAATACTGTATTTTTGGCACAGTCAGCGTCTCCGATTTATCATACTATAAAAAGCGATTTGTTTTTCACTAAAAAAAATTCCATTGTCGTTCCTGAAATGTACTCATTATGTAACATACTTTACTGATCTAAAGAAGCCTTTTTGCTGGAATTCATAGCACCAAAATATACAATTGAAACCCCTTTTTCTCAGTCGGAGGTTCTCGAGGTTTGACTATGGCGGCTTCATCAAACCGCCTTCCTATTTCAATAGGGCGGTCAAAGCTCCCCAGCATCCTTACAAAACAAACAGGTTATGTCCGCTATCTCCGAGCACCTACTATTAGTGCCATTTCTCAAGTCCTTTCTCCATTGACTTCTAAGGAAATTCTACATTGATAACATTATTATCATGAGTTCCTATCGAGCAAATTCTCCACTGCCTTATGTCTGGCTGCCTCATTAACTCTACAACCATCCTCCTGATTGTCCAAAATCTCATCCTCATCAGAGTCTCCAACGTCGAACCAAGGATGCTTGTATATATGCCTTTCATTTGCTGGATACCCAGTTGATCTTAACCATCCAAATATTCCTCGTGTTGGATTCTCTGACAAGTCATCTGACAAGCAATCAATGGAACACTGACTTGGAGCACTCTTGAGCACAGAATCAATCTGCGTAACGTTGTCACCTGGCTGATGGGCATCAGCCCCACGGGCTTCCAAGTCTTTTCCGTCTGCGAGTTCCCAGTACCATGCCTGGTACTCTAAACAATGGCAATTACACTGGGCATGTTTTTGGGCCTCCAGCTCGGAATCATTAAGCAAAGTTTCCCCGAAAGGCTTCCATGGCCACACAGGAAGTCTAGCATAGGAACCACAGCCGATGATATGAAGTAGTCGGCATTCGTCCTCGCGTCTGATCACTTTGCCATCACTTACACCTGGGCTCAGTGTAATGAATGACCCTATTGTGCCTGTCCATGTCGCGGCGTGAAGCTCGACAGCTACACACCCAGTTTTTATAAGCCTTAAAGCTTTAACGTTATCCACAAGCATAGCTCCGAGCCACAGTGGCGCTAACTTCGGTAGACGTCTTGCAAGGATTTTGAGAAGCTTTACGATATTCCGTTCCTGCGTCACTGGATCTATAACGTCGAATGCTGAACTCATCCACGCCGCCACCAAGTTACACTCGATGTCTGAGTTGAAGAATACGGTGTGAAGCAGGGATCGAATGCCCCACACATCAAAGCTTAAAATCATATAGCGAGGAAGAGGGCCATAATACTCATAAGTGTGAATTGATGGAGAATATGGCAACTCAAGTGAGCATTTTGAAGTAGTACTCATTTTCGGAGCAGGGAGTGATATTGACTTGGTCCAAACAAAAGGGATGCAAAGTGCTGCAGACAAGGCCGCCGAGCATTGACCATATAAACGCCTGTAGCAGCAGAAACGTCCAAATTATTCCACAGCCCTATGTGAAGAAGGCAGTCTAATTTCGGCGTTCAAAGACTGTTTAGTTCTTAACTCTGTGGCGCCTGATATTGCAACAGCCCAAGGCGAGACATACGTCCTGCCGTTATAGACTGTCGTTATGCTCCATCCTTCATAAGCTGACAAGATTGCTTCCCACCAATGCACTTCATCATCAGTAGCATTATCACCAATGTCTACTTCAATACGGCTTTGTGGCAATGGGGCCTCACATTGGAGAGTCTATTTCTTGAACGTAATCATACACCGGTGCTCCGGAGATCTACTCAATAATTCGGACCATCGAGCACTCAGCATATACGCCCAGGCAAGAAATAATACTGCGATGTAGTTGCTCTCGTCGTACCCCTCAAGACCCTGAACACCAGGCCATTCTGCGAATGGGACAGAATCTGAGAGCTCTACATTCATTGCAGTTTGAGTCGCAAGCAGAACCGTGCGGTGTATTTCTTTAGGCCCCAGCTGGCAAGTCCCGTTGGAGGGTTTCCAAGTCGAACGACCATTGACGTAAAGAGTTCCTGAGCTCTCGTTACACTTGAATGGGACTGACTCGTTTTCGGGGATCAACCCATGTCCAAGGAATGATGGCGTTTGGCCGAGTATGCGTTTGAGATCAATACATTCAATTGGGAGAGAAGTAGGGCCTTCAAGATCGACATAACTGGACCATAATGCATATTTCACGTAGCACGCGATCAAATCTCTCCTTGGTAGGCTTAACAGCATCATCATTATCGTCACCCATAGTAAACGGGGGGTAATGTGCCGAACAAGTTGTGGCTTGTCGAATCGTACAACATTCACAACAACACCGTTAATTAATTGTCGCTCGCTGGTTGAAAGTAGAATTGATCTATAGGGAAAAAAAAGGATGCGACAAATAAAACAATGGACTGCGGTTGTTAACTCTAACGTAAGTGGTCTATCTAAATAGGCAACAATCAGGCAAACGCACCTGCCCTTATAGCATCCCGACCTCTGTCTCGCCAATAGCCTCTGATACACCGTCTATTGAACATCTCAACATAACTTATACAGCAATTAAGGGCCAACCTCAAGTACTTGGCATCGGTTGCAGTTGTGTCCCTCCAACCACACCGGGATTTGGCCGAATGAACCCTAAGATGGTCATGCCCTCGCCAATCCCCTCGTAAATTCCACCTGCAATCCCCTCAACCCACCATGCAGCCAGGCTTGACACCGCAACACCTACTTTCCCATCATGAAGACTAAGGACCGTTGTTCCCAGACTCACGCTCCTTTTACCCAAGGTATCGGCAGCATCCAGGCTCGCCGACACGACACGCTCGGTGACCCGATGGGACCGTTCAAATTGGTAGAGTCGATGCAGCACAATCTTGAGGTATGGCATCAGGAACTGAAGCAGGAGAAAGAAATGCACAATACTGGAGGCCAGTAGCCGGTGGAGATAAGATCGCTCTGCCGGATGCCTTGTGTTTATAGGTTGATTGCCGAAGCCAACTGCAGAAGGTGCAGCGAGAGAGTTGGAAACTCGTCCAGGGAGGGTTTTTCTGATTCTTGCAGTTTCTTCATAGGTCAAGTCGGCAGGTAGAGCCTGAAGAAGATAGCATAGTGCATCCATGTACAATGACCGCACCAGGTGGCTGTCACAATCGCGTCGCTGGGCTTCTACTCCTGCATGTTGAAGGAATTGAAATGCTATATGAAAAGAGTCAGAGGCGGTCTTATACTTTTCTACATCTACAACACATGTTAGTATGTTGGTATGGGTGCATACCTGGAACAATATGATTCCAGCGCAGTCCTGACTCCTCTTCATATTTGGACATCGCAAACCCCATAGACTCTACACCTTTTTTCTCTTCGAAAGTTGTGATATAACTAGTGTCCGATGACTTCCCGGAAACCGAAGAGCCACACGAGTCCTGACCGTTACTACTACTGCCCGCAGTACCAGGGCGTTGCAGGTCGCCCGAGGCCAAATCGGATTTTTGTCCGTATAATGTCAATTCCGGCTCCGATAAGGATGAAGAGAAGTTATGATCCTTGGGTTTATGGCTTGTTCTTGCTGCGTTTATATTTGGGTCCGACTGTGCCGCGCGGTGGAGTGAAGGATACAGACGGGGAATGTGTCGCCGAATAGCAGCCGGGAGGAAGTCGGGAAGCCCCTGAGAGAGAATCATTGTGTCTCCCAGAGTTGCCTGCTCGTCCATTGTCTCTATTTTCTCCATGTAGTCTTTGTGATAAGTGCAGGGCATCAGATGAGGGGCAATTTAAGGTCGGGTCTCGGGTGACAGAAACAAAGCTTGGATCTGACGCAGTAGTGTCATAATATCGGGATATATGATCACTTGAGAATCACAGTTCAGATGAGTCTCTTCGTCGTGGAAATATCTTGTGAGCACTTTCCAGCCATGATGAGGGCGAAGTTACGGTTCAAATGACGCTGTAGTTGTTTAAACGTCCGATCCATGCAGGGAAAAACCGTTGAGGCGCGAAAAACCTCCGAGTTTCACATGTCAAAGTGGCGATCCAACGACTTTTGACCCACAGTTGAAGTCTTTCCGATAAGGAGACACTAAAGATAGATCCCAACTAGTAAACAAGTCACTGACATCTACAAACCCTAGACGACAGGCAGGCAAACGGTACTTACGACCTACACACCAGTTCTCGACAGCCAACAAACCATCTATAACAAAACATGATTTATCAAATTGTCCCTGGTATTTCTCAGTAGTAAATTAAGTGTCATTCCCAAGATCACGGGTACGCCCTGCCGATGATCACCCATCACATGCAACCAATCATCGAGCTTAGCGCTTACACACTTGCGCCCTTGACGCGATTATTAATTAGACGGAAGGCAAATCGTCTTGGATTAATTTCATTATATAAACTAACACGCTGCCATGTCGGGAATCGTTGAGAAGCTATGCATGAAAGTCACTGAGACAAAGAAGAAAAGTCCCCCGAGAAAGAAAAAAGCACATCACGAAACTTTTGAACAGCTCCAAAATCACGGCCCACTATACACATCTCCTATCTCATCACTTTCAGAAGCCACCCTTACCAGGTGATTGTGGCCCTTGATAAGGAACAGCATCGGTCATCAAAATGTCCGCGTGTTTTGGGCTGGGAATAGGGATGGGTGCAGACCCAACGTTAGAGTCGGGCAAAGTGTCCACTTTACTTTCGTCTCTCCCAGGTAGGAGGCCACCCTCATGCTGGCTGTTTCCCCCCAATTCCAATCCTTGTAAGTCATCCAAATCCAGCTCCCCATAACTGTCATTCAACTGCTGCAGGAACTCAGGATCAAATCCCATTTGCACGAACGGGTCCACTGAGCCGCTCATAGGCGTCGAAAATGATGAGACCCCAGCTGAGAGACTACTTCCCCAATCAGTGGATAAGCCAGAATGTGTCACAGGAGGGACCATTCCAAAGCTACCAGCGTAGCTGCCATTTGAGCTCCCTGGAACGCTCGCTGCCGCTGAGGACCGACCCGTGCTTGGGAATGCGGGACTCTGGAAGCCAGAGCTAGAGTGACTTTGGCTGAAGGGAAGACGATGAAATATGCTCCGAGCTACGGAGTTGGTCTCAACTGGCGGGCGCCGTAGACCACCTTGGGCAGCATAAGGTGGTTGCATGCCCAAGTTAGCGAATTGAACATCCTCTGAGCCAGGAACGTCTTCAAGTCCAGCGACACGTTTAAGAACTCCAAGCCAGACTGGGTTATCCGCGCAGGTCTGGTTCCAAGGATCAGCATTATCATAAATGATGCGCCGGGCTTCATCTTGAAGCATCTGATCCGTTGGGGTAACACCAGCAGCCATACGGTTATGTATAAAAACCATTAGCTCGCGCTGGAGACGCTCATAGCAGTTTGCGTCTCCTGGCACGGTCAAGCTTGGCGACTGCCCTGTGGCACGTGAAGGTTTGTAAGGATCCAATGTGAACTTTTCCTGGCCGATGAGGTACGGGGGCATCGCGTTCTCGACCAAGTTTTCGACATCGGGATCGAAACCCCAATCTCCCTGCCATTGAGTCATGTCGGCACCACTCTTGAAATGGGAAGCTAGGTGGTCAACTCGGTCTTTCCACGTTGTGAGAATAGTTGCACAGAATCCGCACCGCGATCTTATCTCGCAGGTATTACTTCGCCATTTATCCATTGAAGGGTGGAACTTCACGTCATGCACCAACCTCAGATGTTGATTGAGATGGTCCTTGCGATAGAAGGCTCGCTCAGAAGGAGATTTCTCTTGGCATGTACTGAAATTGTGCGATTCAAGATGGTCGTTATCAGGATTAGCCGCCATACAGAATACACAGCGGTTTGCGCCGTCCATGAAAACTACACCTCCCTGAGGCGAGCAGGTCCACTTCTCCAAAGCTAAGTGCAGCGATTTCTCATGTCGTTGCCAATCATACTTGGTCTGGAAAGAGTCGGCACAGAATGTACACTGGAAGATACGAGTACTGCGAGTCTTTTGTTGATTGAAAGCGTTCACGAGTGCTGGAGCTTTACGGCGGCGGCGACGTTCCTTTCGGTCCATGGAACCGAATGACCCCAATGAGGATCTATGGGAGAAGGCGGAGGCGAAGGACAGGTCAGATATAGATGAGTGAGTGGCTGACCGACTTGTCTCCAAGCTACTAATAGAAGGGGCACGGAATATATTTGAGTTGCCATGGCTTGAGTCATTGCTTGACCCAGTCTTCCGAGAATGGGAGCGCACGTGACTTGATTGAGACGGTCGCTGCCGAGCAGAATCTAAAGGAGTGTTCACCAAGGCTCGGAGAATATCAGATGTAGCAGCAGGTTCGTTTTCAGGGGGGGAGTGCTTCCAACGCTCAAGTGGAGTCATGAGAGTTATATCCAGTTGTTTTTGCCTCGGGATATCCATAGCACCGGGAACCGGAGAGCTGCTGCGTGGAGCGGGACGAACTTTACCACGCCGTCTGGCATTGGCAAGCCAATTGCAAATTTGGGTCCGCTTCAGCCCTGTACGCTGCTTCAATTCATCCTTCTCCTGCTCGTTGGGATACGGGTGGTCGCTATGCTCGTATAACCATGTCTTGAGAACACGGACTGCTTCGCGCGAAAGTCGCGAACTACCTTTCCCCCCGCGACCATCGACATCGCCAACAAAGGTTGCACCGTAAGCCGATTTAAGTGCTTTCTTCCCCGTTAAGCCACCGGTTGGAATGTAGGTGTTCTCATTGATCGGGTGTAACGTGTCCAGAAATTTGCCAGGTGCTTTGGCATGAGTGAAACTACACTCTCGGTAGAGCGAGATGCAACAGGTACACCCACTGTTTTGCATGACTCCCCTGTTGGCAACAAAACAGTCCAGTCCCATGTTCCTGCAAAAGTCACAAGGCTCTTTAGCACGACCCATGGGATAGACACCGTTATCCATGACCGGACCCGGGGATTGCTTGATGGCGGGTTCAACATCTTGCTCCGGCAAATTGTTAGGGAACTCCAAGGGTTGATCCAGTAGAAGTGACTTGTAGTTGGCAACAGCATCGTCATTTTCATCGAAATCCCTGCTGTCTGAAGCCACATCATCGTCACGAACTTGAGACTGGGACCCATACGAGGCCCCATCGAAATCAAAGAACTCCATTTTCGTGGTGATGCTCCGGTTTAACTCCGTTGCGAGTCAACTGGAAGCTGAGGTGCTTCAGTGACACCAGTCTGGGGAAATGATAATAATCAATGCAGCCTCAATGGGAAACAAATCGCCGAAGAATAAAGATAACAGTTAATACTGAGAGAGAATGGGTAGTGGGGGGAGGATGGACGGGGTCTGAGAAGTAGGATACGGTTTTTTCGTCTGGGGTATCAAAAGCATGCCGAAACCAACCATGCTACTAGCACCTTCGATGTTTGGACCACATCCTTCTACCTGTCTTTGGTCTTGGGACACGCCTTCAGGGCGTGAGGATCGTATTCGGCCCCAATCGGCACCGCCGAAGACCCATATCAAATTATGGAGATAACGCCTTTATCGATAACCCATGGGCATGGTGGTCTCGGTTATCCAATGACTGATTGACAGCGAGAAAGAATCAAAGAAAGAATGGGTCACGGCTCATCTGCACGCCCTTCCAATGACAACGCCATGCCTCTTTCGGCCAAACATGTCTGTGCGGGGTTTTTCCACGCCCGGACTAACCCAAGATAGTAACAATGAATCATCGGGCCGTTTTCTCCGACAATATCGGAGCCCGGAGTTTGAGAAACTCTCCCCCTACTAAGTACAGTATCTTCTACTCCGTACGGAGTATGCTGCGAAGAATTAACAATGACAACCGAAACTTGGCATGAAAACAAGCGTTATCGATTCTACGTCATTGCGGCTCCCATTTTTAGTCTCCTTGCCCATGTGATATCGACACACTGCCCCGTGTTTCATAAGCTCTTGCGCTAATGCAAACGCCATCACCCGTTAAATATACTAAACACATATGGTCATTATGGGGCCGCTACGAGTAGTTCACCTACGAACACTACAATATATCACCCCATATCCAATTCTTGGTCAACCTTTAGGCCTAAGGGGAGCACACCGATATTTGCTGCTGCAGGTATCAAGCTTTGTCCTAGTCAGCGTAATACTGCAACTCCGATTCTAACCATTCTCTGGGGGTGAGCATGTGACTTCTGACGAGCTAATATTATGACCTCGCCTGGCTGACGTGCCAAAGCTTCTCAGGTTCAATACATGAGACACTTTGTGGTTAGATGTCAGGCAGTCATGCTTTGTTTGGTGGTATAGCACGGCATATCTATCAATCCGCAGGAGCCACATGAGACGATATACTTCCTGTGTGGGAATTGCATAGAATGAGGCAATGTCACATGTGAATAGGTACGTGCAGGCCATGCGCGGTCTACGAATCTAAATATCATGTCGCTCTGGCAAGTACGTTCTATACCCCTTACCATAGTATTGGGTTGCACCAATGTTGGCCCCTGCGATGCAGGCTTTAGGCTCCCGAACTGACTTGCTTGGGGAGCATACCGAATAAGTCTCCTAAACACATCTTCGGTACATTCCAGTCTGTCTACTGTATATGCTTACAGGAGAAGACTCGATACAGCTACAAACATCTTTTGTATGTATGTGCCTATTTGTTGCCTGAGGTTGCATGCAGGCTGCGCTTAACTAGTTGGAACTGATCATCATAGCTGAGTAAACTACCATTCGATGACAAGGATGGGACTGGAGGCTGCGATAAGTACCTACGTCAATCCAGTATAGCTAGGAATTGCCAAAACAACGACATATGTACGTACTACGTGGCGCGGGCGTACTACAGTCCCACAACAATACTCGTTTCTGCTATATGATATAGACTGGTGAGGAAGGGGGAAGAGAAGAAGCGCAAAGGGTCTAGTATCTATTGATTGGACTAAGGTGAATAATCTGCACAATGCTTGGTAGAGACTGTCATAGACTAACGTAATCAACTACCGAGCGACGAATTTTCGCCGCACCCTACTACTTTCTATCTTCAACGCGTCAATTTATATTACTATCATTGAAAAATATCTTTATTACAAGAAAATAGAATTCAAATGGCTATTTCAGCTTATAAAAATAAAAAAATTTAATTAGTTTTAAAGATTATAAATACTTTTAGTATACCTGAAGCAATCTTATATACTTGTCTCAAAGGAAGAAAATCACACATAGAAATATATATCAATAGTTATATAATAACTGGATTTAAAGAAGAATCGCTTCTTCAGTAATTATTAGATACAGATAAATATAGACTTCTAATCTGTCCTGAATTTTTATATAGAATAGCGGAGATTTTACTTTATAATTATCTTCAAAATCCGACAGTAACTATTGGAATTAATTAATCTTATAAATTTATTAAATACTATTCTAAAATATATATATAATATATAAGACAAATAATATATTAACACACAAAATAAGAAGATTTAAAGATTATAATATCTTAGTTTTAGACTGTACAAGCAGCTATTCAAGAACACAGTATACACAAAGATAATATCTGGAATTTTAATAAAACTGGTTTTATAATAGGGCTCTGCTCCAGCTCTAAAGTAATTACTATAGTTAAGTATAGTAAGCGGCTATACAGAGTTATTTAAAATAATTGTAAATAGGTTATAATTATTGAGATAATTGGATCAAGAGATATATATATACTGCCAGTTATTATACTTAAAGCAAGTAATCAGTAAACTATCTAGTTTCAAGAACCTAAGCTTACTGATAGATAGATTATAACCAGTTAGAATAGCTAGACTACAGATAAAATAGATCTTTACTAATTATAAGAAATCTTTGAATCATATTCTAAGTACTATATAACTAGTACTAAGCAGTTGCTTATTCTTGACAGCCATAATAGTTATCTAACTGCGGAATTTAATAATTTCTGTAAGTTAAATATAATTATTTATCTCTATATATCTGTGTATATTTTACAGCTTCTTCAACCGCTTGATATAGATATATTTAGACTATTTAAAGACAAGTACAGAAAACTTCTTAAAGAGCAAATATACTCTGGTAATAATTATATTAATAAAGAGAATTTTCTATCTCTATATTCAGATATACACGCTAAAGTATTTATCTCAGTGAATATCTATAGTAGATTTATAGAAACAGAGCTTAAGCTATTTAATCAAGAATATATTCTTTCTAAGCTTACTTTTTAACTATATACACCAATACTATTACCAACAGAAAGCTCGATTTCCTCTATATTTCAGACTCCGTAGAATACTTGTTAGCTAGACCAGAAAGTACACAGTCTACAGAACAGTCTTAGTATAAAATAGAAGCTTTCTAGCAGTTCTATTACTTATCTTTATTATCTTAAAAAGGCTGCGCAAATAGCTATACATATCAACCTTTTTTTACAGCAAGAAATTAAATCTTTATAAGCTAAAAATAAACAGAAATATAAGAAAAAAGTAAAAAGATATACTAAACTAAGTAATAATCTATTTTTATCTATATAGAAGGGCCACAATCGGGTTCAGCAGTTTAATATATAGCTTGGTAAGCAATCTGAGCAGTCTACTCCTATACCTCGACAACAAGCTCCGCAACATTGCAGTGGCTGTAGGATAGTGAATTATACAATCCGGAATTACCCTAGTAAATAGCTATCATTTCATATATTTAGTTAGTTAAATTTAATGGTGTTGGCAGCTGAATAGCTTCAAATAGTGGGCGTCGCAGTAAACATTCGTCGCTCGGTGGTATTCGTCGCTCGGTGGTTGATTACGTTACTTATACTGTAAGTAAGAAAGACAAAAAAACAAAAAAGTGATTCCGATACGGGGAATCGAACCCCGAGCTGCTGTGTGAGAGACAGCGATGTTAGCCATTACACCATATCGGATGTTGTTGAAGAATAATTCACTTTTTTTATATATAAGCCAATTGATCTCATGCAGTACTGTCGTACATTTACTAGGTGTGTAGGTACCTTCAGCGTTCTCATTCAGACCAACTTCTTTTACTCCGTTTTCCTATTGTTCAAACATCTAAACATTTCGATTCAACTTCACTAACCCTTCAGTGGCTTACAGATTATACATTCGATTCCATGACAACTTTTGTGTCACGTCTTGCACTCATAATTGAACGGAGGAAGATGATATATATACATACACATCTCCGCGGGGTTCACTTCCCATGTTTCTGGTTGAATTCATCTGCCACTTTCCTTGTTATTTGAATAATATCAACGCAACCAGGTGAATCGGAATGGCAACAGATGGATAAAGGATAATCTTTCAATGGCAGTTGCACCACAGTCCCATCGACCGCGGTCACCGACTGTTCTTCGACCTGTTGCCTGACATGTCGCTCCACATCGCCAAGGTCCCATGGTTTCTTCTTCCGGTCAATGACGAGCATTCCTCTCGAGTCGTATTTGACGTCACCGTATAATTCGGCCCAGAATTCTATCCCAAGATCATTGGCAGCCTTCTCCATATTGGTCCCAGCAAGCCCAAAAACAGGCACGCCCTTGGGAATCCCAAGCATGACCGCCCTGGCTACCTCATAGTCTCGACACATCATCCCGTACAGTACCCCGTGGGGTTTTACGTGGTTGAGGGGAACACCCTCCCGGTCTAAGAAGCCTTGAAGTGCCCCCACCTGATAAATGGTCATAGCTGTGAGTTCCTCGGGTGACAGCTTCATCTCCCGTCGTCCGAAACCTTGGAGGTCCGGCAATCCGGGATGTGCGCCGATCCGAACATTATGGGCTTTACAGCTCCTAACGGTCTCCATCATGATAAGAGGGTCGCCACCGTGGAATCCGCAGGCAACATTTGCGATATCAATCATTGGGAGGAGCTCAAGATCAGGACCGCAAGCCCAATTGCCGTACTACAAACCATATTAACTAAGTATATCGACGGTGCAAAGCCAGGGGGAGGGAGAGCGACATACAGCTTCGCCCATATCACAGTTAATCAGTGCTTTCTGCTGTATTGGAGCCATGATGCATGGGCCTTTATGTAACCGACTTTCAGATTTCTCTGAGAATACAACAACCACGAAGATGTATTATATGAAAACGAAGAGATCGTTAGTTTGCGAGGGAGAACTTCTTATGATATCAGCTTCCCACCCTAGCTACGCAAAGGAGGGGGTGTGTCCCACTCTTATCGCTGCATTGACTCCGCACGCCTCCAATTTCTCCAACCTATTGCCATCCATCAACGCCTAACCCCAAATTTGAGACAGCCTTCCAAGTTTATCAAGGATCCGTGATTCGTTTCTGAAGTCATGGCACCCCTGCTATTGGTCTATAGCGCCGAGGACTTTTTAGCCAGGAGGGTGAAGGAGGTTGACTACTTGTCTACTCAGTTTATTAAACACCCGATACTACCCAAACGGCGAGACTTGTAGAATTACTATCAATGCACCCTGACTTACGATGGAATCACTCCAGACAGTGCTGGTCGCAAACCGTGGCGAAATAGCCGTGCGGATTTTGAAGACAGCAAAGTACGAATCTCTAGACCATGCCTGTCGCTCGGCTTTGAACCCTAACCGACTGATTGCACTAGAAAGCTAAATTTGCGAACAATTGCTCTTTACACCGAGCCAGATGCCGCTTCCGCTCACGTTCAACTAGCGGATGAGGCCTTCCTGCTTGACGGACCACCTTCAAAAGCATACATCGATGGGTTTCTCTCCCATTCTTCTCTGCAATGGCCGCCATCTGACTGGATCTTAGAGACCAAATAATCGAATTAGCGAAGCGTAACCATGTGGACGCTATCGTTCCAGGATATGGCTTTCTGTCAGAGAATGCAGATTTCGCAAGAGCCATTGCCAAGGCCGGTATGGTCTTTGCTGGGCCATCGCCAGAATGTATCGAAGCATTTGGGCTGAAGCATACGGCACGAGACCTCGCCACAAAGGCCGGGGTACCTATCGTACCTGGATCACCAGGCCTGGTGACGAGCGAGGAGGAGGCTGTGAAGGTAGCCAAAGACCTAGGGTTTCCGGTATGCCATCAGCTAACCTGCTTCCCTAGCAAAGCTAATATGTTGCACTCCAGGTTATGCTCAAAGCTACCGCTGGCGGCGGTGGGATGGGTCTACTGACATGCAGTTCCGAAGACGAAGTACGCGAGTCGTTCGCTACCGTCAGGTCTAGAGGAGAGGCCTTGTTCAAGAATGCCGGAATGTTCATTGAACGATATTATCCGTCTAGCCACCATATCGAAGTGCAGGTCTTTGGAAATGGAAACGGCAGGGCCATTGCCATTGGCGAACGCGAATGCTCCATACAACGAAGACACCAGAAAATAATCGAAGAGTGCCCAAGTCCATTTGTCACCAGAAACCCTGGGCTCCGCAAAAGCTTGAGCGACGCTGCTGTTCGTCTTGCGGAGTCTATCAATTATGGATCAGCCGGAACGATCGAGTATCTTGTTGACGATGAGACTGGTGCATTCTTTTTTCTTGAAATGAATACCCGACTTCAAGTCGAGCATGGAATAACAGAATTATGCTACGGTGTTGATTTGGTGGAACTCATGCTGAATCAAGCAGATGCTCAACTTTCGGGAAAGAAGGGTCTTGAGGTAGCCTTTCTTACGAGCATCCCAGTCGATACTCCTTCAGGTGCCGCCATCGAGGCTAGAGTATATGCCGAGAATCCGACAAAAGACTTTGCTCCTTGTCCTGGAACGTTACAGAATGTGGAATGGAAGGAACTGCCAGGATCAAGGATTGACACGTGGGTGTACAGAGGCATTAAAATATCCGCAAACTATGGTGAGTTGCCTTTGACTTACTTTCAGTAATAACAAGAGTACAAACTCATCTAAGCCAACAGACCCTTTGCTGGCGAAGGTCATGCTTCATTCCCCAAGCCGAGAGCAAACCATTGAGGGAATGAGGACGATATTAGCACAGTCCCGAATCTGCGGCCCCCCAACTAACCTGGAGTTTATGGTTGAGATTCTTACTGACGAACGGTTTGTCGCCGGAAATACCCTAACCAGATTCCTGGACGATTTTCAATGGAAGCTGTCAGCTATTGATGTTATGTCTGGTGGTGCTTATACGCTCATTGAGGACTGGCCTGGTCGTCCAACCTTGGGCAAAGGGTTCTGCCATTCCGGGCCAATGGATCCTTTAGCGTTCCGTATCGCAAACGCGCTTGTGGGAAATCCCGTTGGGTTGGAGGCTCTTGAGATAACCTTAAGCGGGCCAGAACTACGTTTCCTGGGACCTGCACTCATATCTCTCTGCGGGGCGCCCATTGAAGCCAGCCTTGACAACGTCCCTATACGTATGTGGTCAAGAATTAAAGTAGAAGCCGGCCAACGGTTGAAGATTGGCAAGACCATCGGGAATGGCTGCAGAGCCTACCTAGCAGTATTCGGAGGCTTCTTGAACGTCGCCGAATGGTTCGGGTCGAAGTCTACATCTCCAATGGTTGGCGTCGGAGGTTATCAAGGCCGGCAGCTTGCATCCGGTGACTTACTATCAATAACTAACAATGTACCCGATGGTCTTGGTAATCTCTCTATACCGGAGCACCTCCTTCCCGAATACACTGACCATTGGGAGTTCCTTTCTATGCCGGGACCTTATGATGAAGGGTATCTTACCCCCGAGAGTATTGACATGCTGTACGAAACGGAATGGAAGATCTCCCACAATGCAGCAAGAGGCGGCATCCGTCTTCTCGGACCTAAGCCGAAGTGGGCTCGCTCGGATGGAGGAGAGGGTGGCGCCCATCCATCCAATCTGATAGAGTATGGGTACGCTATAGGCTCACTTAATTGGACAGGTGACGACCCTGTGATCTTCCCGCAGGATGCGCCGGACTTCGGTGGGTTTATAAGTAGCCACACGATCGTTAAGGCGGATCTGTGGAAGCTAGGGCAGGTGAAAGCAGGTGATACACTGAAATACAGAGCTACTTCCTTGGAAGATGCCTTAGCGTCACGCAACCATACGGAGAGATTTGTTCGCGAAGTTGTCAAATGTTGTCACGATGGAGGAAACTTTGGTGACATAGCTCCTTTGAAGGATACCCTCCCTTCAGCGCTGACGAAAGAGATACGTGGTACTGGGGTTGTTCACCAGATCCAGGAGCAGGGAACTCAACCACTCGTTAATTATCGACAGGTAGGTAGTATTTGCAGAAGTGCTACAAGGTGCAATTTATGCTAATAAGTGTTTCAAATAGGCGGGAGACGACTATATCCTGATCGACTATGGCACGGGGTCCTTCGACCTGAACCACCGCTGTAGAGTTACTGCCCTGAAGAAAATCCTAAGTGAAGGCAATGGAGATATCACGTTCTCCAACGGACTGGTCTCAATGATTGGATGTGGAAACTGTAAGATTCACTTTGTTAAGCAAGACGATATAGTGCTAACCCTTCGAATGAAGCCCTCATGCTCTACTACGACGGCACTAAACTCCCCCAGCATAAACTCATAGCCTACCTTTGTGACCTCGAGACCAAGCTGGGCGATCTCAGCGAAGCAAAGATGCCCAGCCGACTATTCAAGCTTCCACTCGCATTTGAAAGCCAGCGCCAAAAGACCGCCATCGAACGATACATGGAGACACAGCGCCCTTACGCCTCCTACCTCCCAGACAACATGAATTTCGTTGCAAAGAACAACGCCTTCACAAAAGCGGAAGTCGAGAATATCTATCTAACTGCACGATTAATGGTCGTATCCGTTGGATTTTTCACAGCGCTCCCTCTAGCACTCCCAGTCGACCCGCGCCAGCGAATGAACTGCCCGAAAATGAATCCCAGCCGAGTCTACACGCCTGCAGGCTCAGTGTCGTGGGGTGGTAGTTGCATGGCGTAAGTAGTCCTTTCTTTATATCCACACCAACCAGTTTTGTATTATCTTGTCCAGTGGATCCTAACGGAAGCTCCGTGCACATCTAGTTTATACAATGTGAACTCTCCCGGAGGCTACCAAATGACTGGAATGACGATCCCAGGCGTCGACATCCTAGGATCCAAGAGGGGATACACACCTGATAGACCATGGCTCTTCGAAGAATTCGACCAAATCACATTCTATCGCGTATCAGAAAAAGAATACGAAAAGGAGTTGGCCCTCTTCAACAGCGGCCGATACGAATACCAATGGGAAGAAGTGATTTTCGATATGGCAGAGCACAACAAGCTCCTCCGCGACACCAAAGAAGAAGTCGCAACCATCCGAGCACGCCAGCGCAAGGCACAAGTTGAGATGGACAAACTTGAGGCGGAACTCTTAGAACGCTGGGCAAAGGAGAAAGCTGAGAAAGGTGTCCCGGTTGATGCCATTGAGAGTTTATTGAAAGGTATGTACAAACCTCTAGTCCATATTTCTTTCTGGGAATAAGGGAGACACAGCAACAAGAAAGAATGCCTACTAAGTGCCGTTTTAGACCCTCGGATTCTTCCAATCGAAGCTCCGTTGAATGCTAATATTTGGAAAGTCGAGGTCAAGCAGGGTGACAAGCTCGATGAGGGCCAGGTTGTGGTTATTTTGGAGGCGATGAAACTCGAAATCGCAGTGCGGACTGAACTGCATGCCGCTGGTGCGACAGTGGAAAAGGTCCTGGTTCAACCGGGTGATTCTATAGAGGCCGGGAAACCTTTGGTATTAGTGAGAAATACTTGAACTGGAAAGCTATTCGGCACTATGGTGTTTGTCCGAATTTTATACAACAACTTTTTGATACCTGTAGGCAATGATCAATGAATTTGACAGGTAAATCAAAGCTTGAATATGTTGACAGAAAAGAAAGAGAAAACACCTGAACTCCATAACCCCATTCTTGCTCTTGAAGATAATAACCAGCCGATAATAGGGTATCTGACAAGACACGCAAAGAAAGCCATCGTAATCGTAAAGGATTTATTCCCACCAAAAGCTAACGCTGATTCCTGCCTTCAGGCCACGCACATAATGCCACCACCCAACAGGAATATATAAGCACTCCCCTTCTTGGAGGACCGTTTCAACGTATTCCGCCTGCATAAATCCCGGCCACATTGCATCCCATTGGTCGGACTCGGCGGGGGAGAGTTCGATAGCTGCAAGGTCGACTTGCGATGTGTTGGACATATCAATGAGCCGTGGTTCATTGGCTTTACCGTCCGCATTATCTTTGTTCTCCGATGACTGGACAGCTTCCATTCCTTTCGGATATATTTGGGACGCAGGCGTCCTTGGAGAGTAGAGACGGATATACTTCACGCCCACAACCTGGACCAGAATGTTATGGTACGGGTCATGGTGAAGAGGCGATATAGTCCAAGAGGGACCGATCCAGGTATTGATGATCGGGTCAGCGGGGAGGCCCAGCTCCGAAGCCGAGCTATCATTGTCATCATCGTGGTGGCTATCCTGGCCAGTAGATGCTGGCTGCGAGCCTGTCCCGTTAAGTTTTCCTTCCTGCTCCCGGAGCTTCTTCATGTATACAGGTGTTCCAGGTTCCGGCCCCGGTGGATCAATGTAGCAATAATCGGGGATGCAAATATCCTTTCGTAAAGCTGGAATCTGAGCCAGCAGATCGTGTTGTGCCATGTAGCCGGTATGCCCCTCATCGTCTTCGATCCCATCTTGGCACTGTTCACTGTCAAAATGGGTTGAAGACTGCATCTGGCCATGCCATAGATATCGGTCGACAAAGTCCCGGAATTCCATTATCCGTTGTCCCCATCCCTCATCTGTATACGATCGCCCAATCTCCACTGGAACAAGTCTCCGTCCGCCAAATGTGCGATCGAACCAGTAATCTTTCGAGGCCCAGGGCCTACTCGACATCGCCGGCCAGTGTTCGACCGCATCGGTAATAACCAAGGGAGTCTTGACATGGCGGATATGATGTTCGATGGAGTCGAATGAAGGAGCCGAAATGCGAGGGATGGGGGTTTTCAGCTCGGGAGCAGGGATAGTATCTGGTAAAAACAGCGGAGGAGAAAGTTTTCTGCGCTTCGCGGCTCGGTCTGATGTATCATCGATGTCTTGGGGGTTTTCACCCTTGGCCCCTCCATCTTCAGAGGATATAGTGGCAGCCTGAAGCGCATCGAGTAGAGATTCAATAAGTGATTCGCGTAAAGGAGCACCCGTCATGATCAAGGCTTTGTCGAGAATGCGTATAGTGTGTGATAACCATGGGGCATTGGGGGACACCTTTAGCGCCTCCTGCTCCTTTCCACTACCCATGTACTTGTTCATGTCGCGGAGCAAATGCGGATAAATTGATACATTGTGTGTCGCATTGTCGTTGTGCGAGTTTCTTTCGCGTGGAAATTCACAGTTGTGGCATATGTTGAGACAAGCCTTGACGACAGTCGCGTCTGTGTACAGGCGTCGCCAGCATGTTTGGACATCTTTGAATGGGAAAACGCGTAGATTCGCATCGGCAAGATGCAGAGCCTCATCTGGGGTGTTTAAAACGAGTTCCCGATGGGCTTCAAGGTCGTGGTTGAGATGGTTGAGACAATCGAGGATGGGGTCGTCGGAGGCTGGATCTGCGATAGCGGAGAGTGCGATAGGAATGATTTGGTGGAGGTGAACCATTGTCTCCCTGGTGAGAGGTTTGAGAGACAATACCCGGATAGAATTGTTATCACCGGCACCAATCTGTAAGTGAAGGTATGGTTAGAGAGCGGTGGTTTGTAATTGATGAGCGTCGCATATGTTGCGGTCACACTTATTTTTTTTGTTTTTTTGGTTCACTAATTTTACCGCGACGTCATGCGGGGACTATATTTTAAGTTCGACAACATTATTTAGTAGCTCAAAATAAAGATTACAACAACCCATAATTTAAAGGTTATTCAAGTAAATAGTTGCGTGAAGTTCTCAAATATCTTCAATGTGAATAATATACAAGGATCCTATAAATACAAAGACTGAAGTCAGGATATTACCGTATAGTGAATATTACTTCGAATCCTAGCTGCATTTGCCGATCCGATGGCGATCATTACAGGAACTCCATGACAAGTTTTGGAATGCGCTCAACACCTTCTCCTCTCATGGCACTCACGGGGACTGCGTATATCTTCTCCCTCCAGCCATCAGAATGACCTCCGGGATGCTCAACCTGAACCTTCTCCACAGCTGAAAGATAGTTTCGCAGTTTCTTGAACTGCTCTTGAGTCTCTGGCAGGTCGGCCTTGGTAGCTACAACGAACCAAGGTTTTGTGTGAATAGGGGGGAGAGTAAGATCGGGAAGCTCTGAGTTAGAGAATGTCTCAGGAGCTTCGGACTGAAGCTCAGGTAGACCATGGGTCGGTGGAACCCATGCGAGGGAGTCATCCTCATTTTTAAGCACTGGTTCCGTGTCACGTATCCGCTCGTACTCGCCGAGCTCATGCCACAAGTTCTTAAGTCCTTGGATGGGGTCTCCGGCACTAAGATCCACCACAAAAGCCAGGATACCCGCCCGCTCGATATGTCGCAGAAAACCTAGACCCAAGCCACGGTCGAGATGTGCGTTTTCAATCAAGCCAGGGATATCGGCAATGGTAAAATTTGTTCGCGGGGCCTTTCCCTTGGACTCAACCAGTGGCCGTCCTTTAAAATCATCGATGACGACCGTCCCAATGTTTGGCGACAATGTCGTGAATTCCCAGTTCCCAATCCGTGTGCGACTGTTGGTCAACGATCGGAGCAGTGTACTTTTTCCAGCGTTAGGCTTTCCAACGAGCCCAACATCGGCAAGCAGCTTCAACTCGAATTCTAACTCAAGGCGCATGCCACCTTCTCCTCTAGAGGCAAATTTCGGTCGATTAATCGAACGGGACACCCAGTGCGGGTTTCCCAAGCCACCGACACCCCCGGCGGCGAGCAGAATAGGTTTATCCATGTGTTGCGACAAATCAAGATGAATCGGAGCTTTTGGTTCCAAGGCGGCGATATGCTGTCTCCTAGGTGGGTTCCTTGGAAACACCGTGGTCAAGAAATCTGAAGGATTTGCACCTGGATAAAGTACCCATCGATCATGACGAATAGATGGCAGCCCAATCTCGTCTAATTCGTCGACTTCCTCGGTTTTCTCCTGGGCTCTCTGCCTTTTCCGAAGTGCCCATTCCTCTGCAACTGGATCATACCTGCTCACTTCACGCACCACTGTACCAACAGGCACCTGAAGGAGAACATCCTCGCCTCGTCTGCCGCCTTTGCTCTTACCCTGTCCATTCTTGCCTCGACCAGCCTTTATGACGCCCCTGCGAGCAAGCTTATGTAGACTCGTAAGCCCCTCAACGGCCTGGATGTAGATGCTCCCACCACTGCCGCCATCGCCGCCATTCGGCGGGCCTTCTTCAACGTATTTCTCCCGGAGAAACGAAACACACCCGTTACCGCCTGCGCCAGCGTAGATTACCGAGCGACATTTATCCTGGAAAATGAATCGAGAATAGTCTTCGGGTGAGGGATTGAGATGCGAAGGTACGGAAGGCTGGTCGGGAGAGGTAGGATTTTCTGCTGGTGGCACGGATTTAGCTTCTGTGCTGTACTGTCGATGATATTTCCAGGAAATTCCTATCGATCCTTTCCTATCGGGTATATGAACAGTGCGTCGGAGGAGAGAAGGGAGGGTTCGTGATAGATATATTCGTTGCGTCGTCATTGTGCAGCACAAGCTCTGTCGCTCATGCTAGGATGAGCGATTGGTCAATATAAAGCCCGGGAGGTAGCCTAAAGTCAACTCAAAAGCATTTTTCTTCTTCCGTCTGACTTGTAAAGCACTTTACTCCCAAGTGATTGTCAAGAGAGTATTTGATAGTCGATGTTGTCATCGCTCTGGAGCAAACCTGCATTGCACGTGACCTTATCAGCACCTGATGATAAGTGATACATATCGATGCCCTGCAAATGAGGCAAAACTGGACACTTGACAACCACTTATGGACAATGATTTTCGTCAAGAATTGTGTTCTGATTTGGGCTTGACTAATTGAGAATCATGGTCTAGAATGTGCTGTAGGTATTTGTGGTCGAAAATACCTTTCGTTGTTACCCTAATCCATACAAGTGGTTACATTCTAGTCATAGAAAGAACTATAGCAGATTTGCTTATTGAGTACTTTTGACATCCGGACAAATTGAAATGCGACACCACCCGGATTGCTTCGGGTCTCTATGCTTTATCTCTGTTCCATAGTCCCTCGCAGCTCAGTGTAACCCTGCCGCCGTTTCAATTTATAGGATAGCCATGCTATACCCTCCAACTGCAATCACGAAGCCTGTTCCCTGTGCGAGATATGATACTTGTCAGCTTGCTATATGAGAGTTGCAACGTCAACTATACATCTAGCCTTACGAAACATACAGGGTCGACTAACAAATGAACTACGTGTTCACGACAGTTCGCCCCTGACTAGCGGTTGCGGCGCATCGCAACTGCAACTGCATGATGAGGCATTCACACGACAGAGATTTCGATTCCATGCTGTGATTAGTATATATGTATAATGGAAGGCCCTGCGCTATAGCTCTGGACCATTTTTTCTGTGTAACCGTTGAACGGTTGCCTTACGAGATTGCCAAAACTACTGCAAGGTAGAATTACTATTGGTTTACATTCTCTCCCGGCTACCATAGTAACTATGAAGCTATTCCGCGATCGGCCGCGAGTATCACTTGACGATAATTAAGTCCTGTATCAATGACTAGCATCGTCGGCCGCAGAATAAGAAGTGGAATACAGCACAGCGCCAAGTGGACACTTACCAAAAAAACTAAGGCTACTGATAGTGATAAACTGTGCATAGGGCAAGGATAATATAAGGCATGTGGCATACCCTGGTCTTCCATGACTCGGGCAAACGCTCCAAATAAGATTCCTAACCGCCATAGCCGAGCATGTAGAATGAGGCTAAACGTCAGAAGCGATTGTACATGGTATCAAGCAGGTAATAGCAGGGGCAGAGTTCCGAGGAGATAGCGCGCGCTACTGTATACCTGCGTGATTGCGCCGGACGGCACACAGCAATGCGACGAACGTAGCAGTAGCAGCTGCAATAGACCATTAGACTGGATACTGTGCGAGCTAATAGCACCACTTGTCCGTTATTGAGCCCTCGATAGTTATGCCGTATGTTCATGAAGTGGATAACAGCTGCATGGCGCCGTCGCAACGCAGCAGGCAAGCCCCAAGACTGATTCTACACCACAACTTCGGCGTAACCGAGATTGCGAACAAGCGACAAACATCCAACTAACTCCTCATAATGGCATTGTCTGTCACATTGGCTCCAACAATTAATAATGGATAGATTGCGCAGTGGACATGTCACATATTGATATTCAACTGGTGGGGCGGGACTAATAGACGAGTGGCGCCAATAGCGCATGGTTGAATCCTTCACACGATGGACTCGAATAGGGTTTGAACTCATTGAGAACTAAAAAAAGTCGATATGCTTAGTTCCTGGCTTATCAACAAGGATATTCCCAGTAATCCATGGATCGAACCCGATAATTCGCCCTCCTCACGAATCGATACTTTGAAAATGTGATGGTGACAGATCAAGTGAGCCAATCAGCCTGGCCGGAGATGCTCTGCCGACTGAGTTCCAACAAATCGATAGTTAAGCACGTACGCACGCCCAGCTACCTTACGATCGGTAAACTCGATCCATGGAACCCTCACATCTAGAGTTTGTCGAAGACGGGGGGAAAATTGGGGAATATTTCCTGACCGGATGCGGGACGTGAACCACGGATGACGAAAAAATTTGTCAACGAGGCCAGTCCAAAGTCCAGACCCTAAGAATGAGTCCGTACTTTTGCCAGCTCCGGGGGGCGAAGCCAATTCTGGGGCGGAGGATCGCCTCTAGCACTTGACTATGTGATCTGAGCTTACGCTAGACTAGTTTATCGACGGCCTCCCTTCACCGATACACAAATAAATCCTTGATTCACTCGGGACATCGTTGTGGCGTCTGGAGGTCTGGACTGGGAGTTGGATCGTATTTTCTTTTCCGTATCTTATGATCTAGGCGGATTGTTGTCGTGGCTCCCTAATGACTGTTCACTACTAACGGGTATCCTGGCTCCAGAGGCCCAGACTTACGAGGGTCTAGAATCTATCGTCGCAGTTCGGAAGTCTTAAATGGAAAGGCAGCTTTGTAGAAGAACAAAGGAACCCTGTTTCAATGCAATATGGTATCACCAGCTGGCCTACTTTGATGCGTCATCACCGTAGAGATAGCAATATAACTTGCTGGAAATTGTGCGCCTCATACCTGGCGTACTTGGCAGGGCGTTTCTTCTAGAGCGAACTTCGCTGGTATTACTATAGGTCAGGATGGATGGATGGATGAGGTGGTCGGCCAGAATACAACTGGTGGGGAATTTGTATCTGGTATGGGCACGATCGACATCAAGAGCCAGTTAGGAGATGATGCGTCGAACAGGGAACAATGGAATAAAAGGGAGGGAAAAAAAAAAAAAAAAAAAACCCCTGGTTCTAGATTGCATGCATATTTGACAGCTGTGACAAATTATCGATTATCTACTCCGTAGATTAAGGTTGATCTCTCCGTATCTTGCAAAGTCCACAATAGGTAAATGGTAGGAATTCATTCCAAAGATTACCCGTGATGATTATACATTCATACTATGCGACTGTAATGGTGCTGGTCTATTGTGCATACACAAGGCAAAGGCGGCATTTGGGCAGATATACAGGCTGTAAGACAGCATAACAGGTAAGGTCAAACAGGTTTGTGTGACCAGGTGGCTATAAACCAGGAACAAACAAGCATGAAGGTGTCGGTAACTTGGTGAAGGTCCATAATGTGATCATAATGAAATAATGGATTACGTGCCCAGCATACATAAACCTACCCACTTGGAATCAATATCATCTCTTTGTGATATGGCAAGGCTCCACCTGTATGTACATATGTACAGTCACGCATACAGTGCAAGTAAGCAAGGTCTCCCAAGAGGGCTAAAATTAGGTTGTCATCATATCTTAACCCTGCAAATTGTAGTGTGTACTTGGTAACTATATGACTGTACGATCTAGATTGTTGGGCCGTGATAGATCCAATGGGATCTCTTTAGTTATTGGTAGTTCACTATCACAGGACCTGCATCTGCAAAGCAAATCTTAAATCTACTGTAGGCTAGTGTGGTATAGATCGGCACATGATCTTCCTGGAGAGAAAGGATCGGGTCTATGATTGGCCTTGACGCAGACGTGCACGACGTACTTTTACTACGCAGTATGTACTTGAGAGTACGATGTAAGATCCTTCCAGTTGGAAGGCTAAAATTCCGCATTTGGGTATGTTCGCGAGACGGAAATCAAGTTGTAACACAAGCAAGACAGCCGTTGGAGCGGCGTTTCCGGAGTGGAGTTTATCTGTTCTATAATTGATGGGCTGATAGGCAGCTGAAAATACAGTAGTGATACAACGGGAAAGATAGAGAAAGAAAGAAAGAGAAAGAGAGGATCCTGCCTCACATGATCATAGAGGGCACTAGTGGGGTCTTGAAAAAAGGGGCGGCAGGGGAAGCAATTCCTACTCCTAGTCCGTACTAGCACGAGTAAACAAGTCGAAAATTGAGAAATCAATCATTCCAATTTAATTGTGATCATTTTTTATGAGACAGGGACAAGAAACTTTGGGCTAAGGGACCACAAAGACCATACCCCTGGGGGAAGGACGATTGTTATCCGTCACCGCGGCACCGGATCATGCATTCCGGTGGAGAAATCTTTTAGTACGCTGGCAGACTGTTTCTAACTTCGCGTCTTTTGCCACTAGGAGCATTTTTTTAATATTCCTAGACCGGACCGGGAGTGGCTAGCCTGGATCCCCTCCAATACATACGTACAAACCTTACTTGGGTCGTCGTACTTTGAGTCTTTTGTTGCTCCCCCCCATTCTTGGTACCTTTGCCGGATTAACTTTCACAGACCCGAAAGGCCCGGCCGGCCATATCGCGACACAGCACACGGCATAATTGATCCTTCGTTCCGACTCCTACTGACTAGTACGGTTTTAGAAATCTAGAAAATTTGCCACGGTCAAGGATCTTGTATGTACGTACTTATTCTCCCCTTCCTTCCTGGGCATGTGGAGAACAAATTACCTCGTTGCCATTCCGGCGCGGAAATCGTTGGAAACTAGTATGTAGTATTACCTTTTGCCATCTGCTCGCAGGAGTGGAGTTTTCCATTAGCCACCAGAACCGGAAGTACGACGAGGATGTACTTTTTTTGGTTCCGAAAGCCTTCCCCGGAATTAGCTCGTGACATCCCAGCAAATGAAACAAGGTACCGCCTCCAAAAGCATTCTAATGACCCAGAACCATGTTTCACCTCGCACTAATGTAGGCGTAAATCTACAAAGCGAACGGATTTATTGGCCCGGGGGCTGGCATCCGATTCCAGGCACAAAGCCGTGGATTTTCCCATACCTGCGCTGTACCTTTTCTGGTACTAGGTCAGTACCTTTGCCTAGTAGTACATACTCGGTAGATGCTTAGTACTAGTACTAGTAGAGTCCATATTTTGTTCCATTTGAAAATAGTGGTATTATTGTTGACGTCAATCGTAACACAAGCAAGAGTGGATTCAGCAGAGTTTTCCCTTCGGCCTCCTGGAGATTACGATTATGTTCAGTGGACGGTATCCGCAGAAACCATGGTAAGGCAGGATTGGAAGAGAAAGGGAAAGTCCGAAGGGATAATCTCAAAACATTGAAGTGAGAATTAACTACACTAGTTCTTTCTCTGATACGACCCTGTGCACTACAGTATTGTAAATTTAGCTCAGCTACTATGAAAGGCTGCTGTCATAACATGCAAGCGGAGGACCTTCAGCCATCTCTAAACAGGAACCACACACAATACCCGCCACAACCGCACTCGCATTTGCCTCGCCTGAATCTACTACGATATTTGAGTAGTGCAGGTGGGCTGATTTCTCGGCTAACTGATCGTGGATAATACCACATTGATTCTAGAAAGATTCGACACATGTTACACAGATGCTGCAACATTAATAATAAGGAGTAAACAATCATCATGAAACATCGGTCCACGCACACCCACCGGCCTGCCTTCCATAAAAGGCCAATCAATCATTCTGTTATTCGGTCGGAGATTAAGAAATTGACATCTCTAGGAAAAGGCGGTGAAATAGTTCTCTCTCTCTCTCTCTCTGTGTTCTTTTTGTATTTCGCTTCCCTGACCTCCCTTATTCTATTTCCTGCTAAATGTATATGTTTTGACAATCATCCTGAGTCATTTTGCTGGAGTGAAAGGGGCAAAATAAAAGAAAATAAAAAAATGATAGTACGAAAACCAACTCCGAGCTTGCCTGACTTTTGAGGGCATCCCGACGTCACGTCCCGACAGTCTGGAACGGAGCTGCGGCTTTAGAATGATCCACAAAACAATATGGTCTCCATCCAACAAAAAAATTGGTGGCTTGTTGTTTTGAGAGCTGCAATATGGAGCTTATCAGTGGTCTGTAAGTGTGTTAATTAAGGGCAAAACTAATACTGATCAAGAAGGGTCTTCCCTGTACCGAAAACATCATGACAGGATAATGATAGTTCCCGGACCAAGTTTGCACATCTGTAAGAATGACTGTAGGTAGACTTGACCTCCCCTAAAAGGTTAATGCCATTATTTGAGCAGCAAGAGAAAATTGACCGAAGAACCTCGCTATGACCTCTCAAGAGCAACTACAGAATGGCATGACGCTGCGGTATTTTCTCCCATATCGTGGTAATACCCTACGCGCAATCCATTATGATCGCGGGGCAACCCAAACCCCGCCTCAAGCCAGCAGAGTCGTAAGAGTCAGCAAGTAGATAATGAATTAGCTCTTGCATGACGAGCTGTATAGGTAGAGTAATGCACATACATGCCCGAGGTAATTTTTATCCTATCTCCATATCCCACGAATGTTCGTTTTCTGTAGATGGCTGCCTACCAGTCCATTATTGTGGCTGTGTACCGAGTAATCCGATCAGGTCATCATTTATTACTTACTCACCGTATATTTTGATTCTGATCCTGATCGGCCTTCTGCAAGGTCGACAAGGTCCACCAGTGATACGTTAAGGCTGATCGTATCAGGATTTATCCGCCATTTCATTCCTGCCCAAGCTAATAGGACGTAGTCCCCCTGGCCGACCTATGATAATAGTTGCCTGCAAGAATAAACTGCGGCAACAGGTAATAATGGCCCAGGATCTGGACAGATGCTGTCAAAATGTGCCCTGCATGGAGGGTTGTACCCAAGGAATCTGCAAGCCCCTCCTTTCTCCTTCTTGACCGCTTACTGCCGGTGATTTCACGATCCCTGATTGCCCCTCACCTCCACTTCATCGAGAAGCAACTTGAAGTCATTCTTGCTGCAGGGCTTCTTCGTTGAGCTGCCAACAAACTCACCGATGCGACTGGCTTGACCTTCAAATGACTCCTGTTAGTCAGTGCCAACGTCTCAACTGGTGTCAACGGCCCAATAATCCCCGAGAATTAACAACGCCCAATACCCATGGGCAGTAACACCCCGGACAAGTGAGGTTCACATGACTAGCATTGATGCATACATCGTTAGGTGCATTGCCATGACATCTCATCGGTTGTTCTTGTTTTTTCCCTCCGGTCCGTCCGAATGGGCACCGACATGGACACGATGCTAACGTAAGAGAGACACGATGTTTTCAATCGTCCTATCCTGCGTAACATACATTGATTTGAAGAGTGACGCGCCGACACCGCCAGATAATGTATTGTGACATCTTCGCATCATCCGCCAACACTAAAAACTTGGGGAATATTTCGTCTGTCATTTTATTAGTTCTTACAAAGGAAATTACTCCTAACCCCAATTAGAAACCAATACTATATATATTTATATATGTAAAGAAGGTAATGAAAGCACTCTTCGATATACATTTGTTGTATATGGTACGTGAGTAAAGGACGGGTCTAAACCCAGAAGAGTAATTATTTCAGAGAAGAAAAAGGAATTTGGTACGTCACCGCATGAATGAGCAAACGTATCGGGATCTCCGGGGAAGCACTGGCATTGGCCTCAATGTGGCACCTGTTGGTTACTTGGGGAGGAAATACTCGTGACAGTCGGACTTGAGGAAATTCATTTTGTTTGCTTTCGATTAGCCTGTTTAACCCCGTTGGGAAGTGTTCCCTGAGACCTAAGAACCTCGTTCACCGTATAGGATCTCTTGGTTGCATCCTCCCTCGTGGGAACCATGTGTAGGGGTGGTGTATGGGCTGTTCTGAACACAACGGCTACACTGGATCACCAGATTCAGTTTCAAGTTGACTTCCGGAATTCTCTTCCACAATCCCTATTCCTATGAAACCAATTTGCTTGAACTCCGATCGATTGGAGAGCTGCCTGTCAAAGTACGATGACGTCGTAGCTGCTTCCTCTGTCAATTCCTTTGGGCGCTCCTGTAGAGATTGATCTAAATGGCTATGGGTCCTGTCACATCTCAGTGAGAAGTCAAGAGATCACTTGCAGCATCCTTCCTTCTATCGTTTTTCTTTTCCTCTTCCTCCACCCCGTTTGGCTCGCGTGGCTCCAGATCGGGGACGACGCTAAGACAGGCACTATGAGATCCACCGCCTATGTGATAACATGTACTAGACTATTTACCTTTTGCAGCTGTTACGTATCATTGAGGTATGTATGTACTTGTATGAGGTACCCGGCCCTGGTCCGTACGGTATGGGGCCTGTATCGGCAAGCAGGATCTGCAATAGAATTCCAATCCCTTGGTCCTTAGGCGGAAGGTACAGGTTCCCACCTCCGCCTTTCTTAGCGCCTGTATCCAGGATAACGGGGCGGACAGGTGGCTTTAACACCTCTGGCTTTTTTTTTCCATTTTTCCATTTTTCTTTGGTTCCCTTCTTTTTTTCCCGTTCTCTACCGACCTCTTTTAACTGAAATTAGTCTACTTTATCATTATGATTGGAAGAGCCTATATAGATGTCATGGAATGCAACACATGGAAAATCGTCGGGTATGAGTTATGGCCGTTGTTGCGATAGTCATCTTTAGTGTCGCGAAAACCCCAACAGACTGGCAACTGTACCCACTGCATGCGGGTAATTCACACTGAACAAGAATGACGTCAAAGATATTTGCCCAAAAGGCGCTGTCCCTTTCAATGGACGAGAGAATTTTTTTTTTTAGGTGTTGTTGTTCTTCCGGCCGACCAAAACCCAAAAAGAAGGGGAAAATAGAGTTTTGACTGCAGCGTAAATCAGCATCAAATTATATGCTGCAACCAGCTCAACTCCTCGCTTTTGGCCCTTTCCTCAAGAGCTCTCCCTTCCTGCTCCTGCCCCAGGTTCTGTACTGTTATTATCATACGCATGATGGTAGAAAGTCTAATAAGACCTTCCATGTAGCAGTACATATGGAGAGCAACTAGGTTCTCCGGAAGATTTTCTTGCCCAACTATTATAGTACAGGAGAATATCGAGGGGTTATGCTTACCTGCTCCCTCATGCCAGTGGAAGATCCAACCAATTTCTATGGCCGAAACAACCTTACGGCAGGAATTATCCGAGCTATTCAATTTGAATTGTAAATTTACCAATTTTTGTTCTTGTTTTTTCTCTTCTAGCTTTGGGTCTCTTTGTCCTTCTCTCTTTCTCTATCTCCCTTTTTAATAAAAAATACAGAACAAATTTCATCTTTATGATTGTTTTATGTTCCTTTTTCCAACGGGGGAGATCAGCTTTAGATGAGCAGTAGACGTCAATCATCCTGTCTCCCGATTTCCAACCCGTTGCCGGTCCACTTAGGGTAACAGGAAGCAATAGCGCCTTTCTCACCGTAAGGGCTGATTGTCGATTGCTCACTTCCCTCCTCCACCGTTACCAGTCTACAATTATCGGACCCACTCCATTTTTTCCCTTTCTTAATTATTCATTTTATTTTATTTAATTTTTTTTCTTGATCTCTTTTTGGGATCCCCCCTCGATGTCAGATCATTTTAGCCTCTTTTTCTTTTCTTTTCATCTTTTCTCCCCTCTATTCTTTTCCTTTTCTTTTTCGAACTAATTTACTTATTCAAGTCGTAGCAGTTACCGCTTGCCCTGGCTGAGTACACCGCATATTAACTGTACTCGAAGTCAAGTTTTTTTTTATCTCTCCCCGTTTCCCCCGCCATTGTGACTGCCAAATGCTTGTCACTGAGCATAAGCTAATTTCCTGCTGTAAGTCGGACTTGGTGGTGTGACTTGTATATATTCTTTGTCCATCCCGGCCTCGCAGGTAATAGTTAGTACATCCCTGTTCGTGCGCGGTTGAAAGAGTAAGCATCAAGACAGTATGAATGAAATCATCGATCTTTGGCCTATTTACAAAATAGTTGAATTATCCAGGATTAGAGTGGGCACCCGGCTGGGTTTACTTGAATTCCGCGGTAGTGGGTCAAGATACACACACAGAGAGAGAGAGAAAGAGAGAGAGAGAGGAAGGAGGATGTGTTTAGGACAATACAGCATCAATACATACATCATACGGAATGCATACGGGGTTCCCTCGATTGTATTTTGTTATTTATCTATTTTATTTTTATTTTATATATTTTTTTATTTTAATTCCTGAGGAGACCTAATTATTCGGGGGCGGGACAGGAGCAAGTGGGTAGGGGCTGTTAGATCTATCATCTCACTAAGTCGCACTAAACCAGACTTCTGGAAAGCTGATCATCCTTGCCTTATGGGACTGTTTAGCGCGCTTCTAGAGACACTCTCTTTCACTTCCCCGGGCCCCGGGGATCAGGGCCATGGGTCTACCGGTCAATCTGTGGCGGAGGCTCTCAGCTGGGAGCAGCTGGGCCACTTTCTCTTTCTCTGTCTCCCTTTTGTTTTCTGTATTATTTGATTTGATTTTTTTTTTAACTCATCTATGTGGTGTGGGAGGGATAATATCCTGTTACTGTAGCATGCTAGCCCGACTCTAATCGGAATTTGATCCTGCTGCGGCACAGCTTCTGTTTGATTCGACAGTGACGACTCTTAAGATGATTGTTATTGTCTAATATTCCAGTGGTATTATTATAATACCACAGGCAATTACGGTGTAGTTCCGTCAGGAAAAGGAACGAATACTTGCGTATGATGAGGAACCGGGCTACTATTCCCTTTCTTGCTTGAACACCAGACGGAGTAAGCAAAATAGGTACCTAAAAGTACCTGACCTCCAATGAATCATTTCTCTGGAGTGATTGGTAACCTTCCGTTGACTATGTTTTGCTATTGGCTCCACCCCTTTCCAACAGGCACTGGGAGTTTGGGACTCCCTTCCGTGGATGTGGTACGTCCCATTGTCAGGTCTGGTTGGTCTTCCGGTTTAGTCGGACGGCCCCGATCCATAATCTGCTTTCTGCCGGTTTATCTTCTGAAAACATCATACCTTAACCCAAAAAAACTAAAACTGAAAAAAAAATAATAAAAAAATAATAAAAAAAATTAATTAAAAAATAAAAAATAAAAAAATAAAAAATACTTTTATTGTGGGTCCCGTTACTACTCAACTGTTTGCTGTACTGCATCACGCACCAGGCTCTCTCTCTCTTGTACAGCTGTAACCGAAATGGGCTCCATAGTATTGTC